CTTGAATATGTTCAATGAATGAGCATCCACAGCCTTCTGGGGTAGAGGATTCCACAAATTCACTACCCTCTGAGCGAAGAAATGTTTCCTCAACTCAGTTCGAAAAGGCTGACCCTTAATCTTGAGACTATGACCCCTAGTTTTAGATTCTCCAACCAGGGGAAACAGTCTCATGGCATCTACCCTGTCAAGACCCTTAAGAATCTTATAGGTTTCTATAAGATCACCTCTAATTCTTCTATATTCTAGAGAATATAGGCCTAGTTTACTCAACCTATCCTCATAGGTCAACTACCTCATCCCAGGAACCAACCTAGTGAATCTACGCTGCACTCTCTCTAAGGCGTGTATGTCCTTTCTTAAATAAGGAGACCAAAACTGCACACAATATTCTAGGTGCGGTCTCACTAAGGCCTTATACAACTACAGTGAGACTTCCCTACTCTTGTACTCTTTTGCAACGAACACCATCATGGCATTAGCCTTCCTAGTTGCTTGCTGTATCTGCATATTAACTTTTTGTGACTGGTGTACAAGGACACCCAAATCCCTCTGAAGACTAACACTACCTAGTCTCTCCCCCTCTAGAAAATAATCTGCTTTTCTATTTTTACTACCTAGGTGAATAACTTCACACTACTCCACATTATACTTCATCTGCCACCTTCTTGCCCACTCACCTAGCCTGTCTATTTCCCTTTGCATACTTTGTGTGTCATCCTCACAGCTTACTCTCCCACCTAGTTTCGTATCGCCTGCGAATTTAGATAAGTTAAGTTCTATTTCCTCATCTAAATCATTGATATAGACTGTAAATAGTTGAGGCCCAAGCACTGATCCTGTGCCACTCCACTAGTCACATCCTGCCAATCTGAGAAAGACCCGTTCACCCCTACTCTTTTTCTTCCTGTTAGCCACTCTCTAATCCCTGCTAATATATTACCTTTAATTCCGTGGTTTCTAATCTTATGCAACAGCCTTTTATATGGCACCTTGCTAATTTGCTAATTTACAATACTATAATCTGAGGATTCTTTCGTTACCAGAAGCCAAGAGTCTGGGCGAGCCCTGGGCAGTGAATCAGGCAGTGAATCAGGGTGTGAGTCAGGCAGTTTCTCAACTGCTTTTCATTCTGGCACAAACAGAGAACAAACCCAGAAGTTAGCAGCATCGGTGTGGCTAACCTGGGGGTTTCTGTGTGTTAGGCACACACACACAGACATCAATGTCACACATATATCTATATACAGTATAATGGTGTGAGTGATTATGAACAAGTATTTGTGATAAATGCAATAAGTATTATTAAATGGAATGATTATCATTTACAAGTCTGTGTACGTATTTGTTGTGTGCATAGTATTCAGGCTGGAAGCTATATATATATATATATATATATATGTGTGTACCTAGACCTATACTGTGTGTGCATGAATATTTGTATGCAATATATACACATTTGTACATGCATATGTAATTATATATATGTGTGTATAGATGTTTGTGTGTGTGTATATGTGTATATCTGTGTGTGAGAGAGTATATGTATGTGTGTGAGGTGTGTGAGTATATGTGTGTGTGGGTGAGTATATGTGAGTATCTGTGTGTGTGTGAGTATATGTGAGTATCTGTGTGTGTGTGTTTGTATCTGTGTGTGTATCTGTGTGTATGTGATTAATGGGGAATGCATCTATATGTAACTGTGTACGGTCTGCGCGTAACTGTGTACGGTCTGAGCGTAACTGTGTACGGTCTGCGCGTAACTGTGTACGGTCTGCGCGTAACTGTGTACAGTCTGCGCGTAACTGTGTACGGTCTGCGCGTAACTGTGTACGGTCTGCGCGTAACTGTGTGCAGTCTGTGTGCGTGCATAACTGTGTACAGTCTCTGTGTGTGCGTAACTGCGTACAGTGTGTGTGTAACTGTGTACAATCTGTGTGTGTGTGTAACTGTGTACAGTCTGTGTGTGTGTACATTTGTGTGTAATTGTGTACAGTCTGTGTGTGTACCTGTAGGTGTAACTGTGTACAGTCCATGTGTGTGTGTAGTCTGTGTGTGTGTATTCTGTGCGTGTGTGTGGGTACAGTCTCTGTGCGTGTGTGTAACTGTGTAGTCTGTGCGTGTAACTGTACAGTGCGTGTGTGTACAGTCCGTGTGTGTGTGTACAGTGCGTGTGTGTGTGTGTACAGTGTGTGTGTGTGTGTGTCCAGTGCGCGTGTGTGTACAGTGCGCGTGTGTGTACAGTGCGCGTGTGTGTACAGTGCGTGTGTGTGTACAGTCTGCGTGTATATGTGTATGCAGTCTGCGTGTATGGGTAACTGTGTGTGTGTGGGCACAGTCTCTATGTGTGTACAGTCTGTGAGTGTGTGTGTCTACAGTCTGTGTGTGGGTACAGTCTGTGTGTGGGTACAGTCTGTGTGTGTGTACAGTCTGTGTGTATGTTGGTGTACTGGATATGTATGGTGTGTGTGTATAGTCTCTGTGTGTGTGTAACTGTGTGTGTGTGTACCTGTGTGTGTGTTCAGTCTGTGTGTGTGTATGGTGTATAACTGTGTGTGTATGCTGTGTGTGTAACTGTGTGTGTGTGTGTGTGTGTATGGTGTTTGTGCAACTGTGTGTGTATGGTGTGTGTGTAACTGTGTGTATGGTATGCATGGGGTGGGTGTGTTTGTGTGATGTGTGTATGGTGTGTGTGTGTGTACAGGGTGTGTATGTTGTGTACAGTCTGTGTGTACAGTCTGCATCTGTGTGTACAGGGTGTGTATGGTGTGTGTGTACAGGGTGTGTACAGTATGTGTGTGTATATGTGTACAGGCGTGTATGGTGGGTATCTGTGGGTGTAGTGTGTATGGTATGTGTGTGTGTGTAGAGAGTGTGTAATGGTGTTTGTGTGGTGTGGATGGTGTGTGTGTGGTTTGCATGGTGTGTGTGTGTGGTTTGCATGGTGTGTGTATGATATATGGTGTGTGTATGATATGTGGTGTGTGTATGGTGCGTGTGTGTGTGTGGGTGTGGTGTGTGTGTATGTACAGGGTGGGTGTGTGTGTATACAGGGTGTGTATGGTGTATGTTTATGGTGTATGGTGTGTGTGTATGGTGTGCGTGTGGATGGTGTGTGTGTAAGGGTGTGGATGGTGTATGGTGTGTGTGTGTGTATGGTGTGTGTGTGTATGGTGTGCGTGTACAGGGTGTGTATGGGTGCATGTACAGGGTGTGTATGGGGTGTGTACAGGGTGTGAATGTAAGGTGTGTGTTCAGGGTGTGTATGGTGTGTGTAGGGGTGTGTATGGTGTGTGTAGGGGTGTGTATGGTGTGTGTAGGGGTGCGTATGGTGTGTGTAGGGGTGCGTATGGTGTGTGTAGGGGTGTGTATGGTGTGTGTATGATGTGTGTAGGGGTATGTATGGTGTGTGTATATGGGGTGTGTGTATGGTGTGTGTGGGGGTGTATATGGAGTGTATGGGGTGTGTGGGGGGGTATATGGGGTGTGGGGGGTGTATATGGGGTGTGTATGGAGTGTGTATGAGGTGTGTGGGGGTGTATATGGAGTGTATGGGGTGTGTGGGGTGTATGGGGTGTGGGGGTGTATGGGGTGTGTGGGGTGTGTGGGGTGTATGGGGTGTGTGGGGTGTGTGGAGTGTGTGGGGTGTGTGGGAGTGTATATGGAGTGTATATGGAGTGTATATGGAGTGTATATGGAGTGTGTGGAGTGTATGGAGTGTGTATGGGGTGTATGGGGGTGTGTGTGGGGGTGTTTATGGAGTGTATATGGAGTGTATATGGGGTGTGTGGGGTGTGTGGGGGGTGTATGGGGTGTGTGGGGGTGTGTATGAGGGGTGTATGGAGTGTATGGGGTGTGTGGGGGTGTGTATGGAGTGTGTGGGAGTGTATATGGAGTGTGTGGGAGTGTATATGGAGTGTGTGGGAGTGTATATGGAGTGTATATGGAGTGTGTGGAGTGTATGGAGTGTGTATGGGGTGTATGGGGGTGTGTGTGGGGTGTGTATGGAGTGTGTGGAGTGTATGGAGTGTGTGGAGTGTATGGGGTGTGTGTGGGGGTGTGTGTGGGGTGTGTGGGGGTGTGTGGGGGTGTGTGGGGGTGTGTGGGGGTGTGGGGGTGTGTGGGGGTGTGTATGGAGTGTGTGGGAGTGTATATGGGGTGTGTGGAGTGTATGGAGTGTGTATGGGGTGTGTGGAGTGTATGGAGTGTGTATGGGGTGTATGCGGTGTATGGGTTGTGTGGGGGAGTGTATGGGGTGTGTGGGGGTGTGTATGGAGTGTATATGGAGTGTGTGGAGTGTATGGAGTGTGTGTAGAGTGTATGGAGTGTGTATGGGGTGTATGGGGTGTGTGGGGGAGTGTATGGAGGGGGTGTGTGGGGGTGTGTATGGGGTGTGTGGGGGTGTGTGTGGGGTGTGTGGGGGTGTGTATGGAGTGTGTGGGAGTGTATATGGAGTGTGTGGGAGTGTATATGGAGTGTATATGGAGTGTGTGGAGTGTATGGAGTGTATATGGGGTGTGTGTATGGAGTGTGGTGGGAGTGTGTATGGAGTGTGTGGGAGTGTATATGGAGTGTATATGGAGTGTGTGGAGTGTGTGGGAGTGTATATGGAGTGTGTGGGAGTGTATATGGAGTGTATATGGAGTGTGTGGAGTGTATGGAGTGTGTATGGGGTGTGTGGAGTGTATGGAGTGTGTATGGGGTGTGTGGGGGTGTGTGGGGGTGTGTATGGAGTGTGTGGGAGTGTATATGGAGTGTGTGGAGTGTATGGAGTGTGTATGGGGTGTGTGGAGTGTATGGAGTGTGTATGGGGTGTGTGGGGGTGTGTGGGGGTGTGTATGGAGTGTGTGGAGTGTATGGAGTGTGTATGGGGTGTGTGGGGGAGTGTATGGGGTGTGGGGGGGTGTGTATGGAGTGTGTGGGAGTGTGTGTGGAGTGTGTGGGAGTGTATATGGAGTGTATATGGGGTGTGTGTGGTGTATATGGGGTGGGTCACTCACCCCCCGGGGCAGTGCTGGTGAGGCGCTGGAGCTCAGCAGTAGGTTTCTGGTGATCGGGAGCGACAGCCTCAGAGCTGCCCATCGGGCCATGTCCTCTCCTCTCCTCTCCTCCTCCCCTCCCGGTGCCGCCGCCGCTCCGCACACACTTTCTTTCTTTATTTCCTTCTCTCTCTCTCTCTTTCTCTCTCTCTGTGGCTAATCTGCAGAGGGTGAGGAGCGGCAGTTATTTCTCTGCTCTCTCTCTCTCCCCGACTGTGTCCACCGACTCTCAGCGCCGCTCTCACCCCCCAGTCTGAGAGGCTCTGTCTGTCTCTCTGTGTCTGTGTGTGTGTGTGTGTCTCTCTGTCTGTCTCTGTGTGTGTATCTTTGTCTGTGTCTGTGTCTCTGTCTCAGTGTCTGTGTCTCTCTGTCTCTGACTGTGTGTGTGTCTCTGTCTCAGTGTCTCTGTGTGTGTGTCTCTGTCTGTGTCTCTGTCTCAGTGTCTGTGTGTGTGTCTCTGTCTCAGTGTCTGTGTGTGTGTCTCTGTCTCAGTGTCTCTGTGTGTGTCTCTGTCTCAGTGTCTGTGTGTGTGTCTCTGTCTCAGTGTCTGTGTGTGTGTCTCTGTCTCAGTGTCTCTGTGTGTGTCTCTGTCTCAGTGTCTGTGTGTGTGTCTCTGTCTCAGTGTCTGTGTGTGTGTGTGTCTCTGTCTCAGTGTCTGTGTGTGTGTGTGTCTCTGTCTCAGTGTCTGTGTCTCTCTGTCTCTGTCTGTGTGTGTCTCTGTCTCAGTGGCTGTGTGTGTGTCTCTGTCTGTGTGTGTCAGTGGCTGTGTCTCTGTGTGTCTCTCTGTCTCAGTGTCTGTGTCTCTCTGTCTCTGTCTGTGTGTGTCAGTGGCTGCGTCTCTGTGTGTGTGTGTCAGTGGCTGCGTCTCTGTGTGTGTGTGTGTGTCAGTGGCTGTGTCTGTCTGTGTCTCTCTGTCTGTGTGTGTGTGTGTGTCTCTGTGTGTGTGTCTCTGTGTGTGTGTGTGTGTGTGTCTCTGTGTGTGTGTGTGTGTGTGTCTCTGTGTGTGTGTGTGTGTGTGTCTCTGTGTGTGTGTCTCTGTGTCTCTGTGTGTGTGTCTCTGTGTCTCTGTGTGTGTGTCTCTGTGTGTGTGTCTCTGTGTCTCTGTGTGTGTGTCTCTGTGTGTGTGTCTCTGTGTCTCTGTGTGTGTGTCTCTGTGTGTGTGTCTCTGTGTGTCTCTGTGTGTGTGTGTGTGTGTCTCTGGCGGCTCTGCTGATGAGTGAAGATTGCAATCCGCAAAAATAATAACCTCTTACAATTCTTTGCAACTAACAAACCATTACCCCCTCCTCCTCCCCTCCCTCCCCTCCTCCCCCCCCTCCCTCCCTCCCCTCCTCCCCCCCCCCCTCCCTCCTCCCCCCCCCCTCCCTCCCTCCCTCCCCCCGCTCCTGGCACCAAACCTGGACTTGATCTCCAGGTCCTCTAAACGTCTCCCTCTCCTCCCCTTACAAACCCGCAACATACACCCTCTCTCTCTCTCTCCCTCTCTCAAATCTTTGCAACTAAGCAAAACATTACCCCTTCTTTCCTACCTTCTTTCTTTCCTCTCTCTCTCTCTCTCTCTCCTTCCCTCCCTCCCTCTCTCCTTGCAACCAGGAGCCTGGACAGATCTCTGCAGTTTGTTTATCTCTCCACTTTTTTGGGGGGTTTGGGGGGGGTTTTCAAGACACTTTAGTGCATTGAGAGCCTCCCCTCCTGACCTTTATTACCTCCTTCCCTCTCTCTCTCTCTCTGTGTGTGTGGTGTGTATCAGCTCCTGTGCTGTTTCCACTCTACACCACTAGAGGGAGCTGCAGAGCGTTGCCGCCCGACACGTGTGATTTGAGGCTTCTTTTGGGCGGGATCTCGCCCAATTGGGCGTGTTTTTGTTTTGTTGTGGCATTAGGTGTGTGTGTGTGTGTGGGGGGGGGGGGTTTGGGGGGTAAACAGCATTGGGGACAGGGGTCTAATTTCTAATGAGTAATAATCCTGGCGTCTGACCCGGCGCCTTATTAGAGCTGTGCCCTCGCGACGTTCTCAAAGCGCTTCGCAGTCATACGCCGTCAGGTGAACAGGACTGTGTGTTTTGTGGGCGAAACGCGGCAGCCGTTTGCCCGCCGCAGTGACCCACAAACGGTCGTGGATTGAAGTGACCAAATTATGATCCTTTCTGTTTCAAAAAAAAAAAGAGAGAATGAAGGGATTATTTACCCCCGAAAAAGCCATCCGCCAATCGACGAGCAACTGAGTTCCGAGCGTGGAGTAAGGAAACCTGCCTGACATTTTGTCCTGCTCGGGAATCGAACCAGCGTCCTCTCGCTTGTGAGCCAAGCGCTCTAACCAATATGCTCTCCAGGACTAAATAAAATCCTCAAAACAATCCCACCCCCCCCACCCCACTTTGAAGACATCTTACAGTTTAAAAAACACTGACCTATACTGTCCACTTTGCTGCCCCATAGGACACAATGCATAATATTGGGCTTACTTTTGGGCCAGTGTCTGGTTGGCTTTGGGTTACAAATGTATTTTAAATTTCTGGCAACCCTGGTTTTGACCCTCGGATTTTTCATTTCAGAACAAAAAGATGAGGCCTCATTTCTTTCTTCCCCAATCCCTCAAAACACACTGTTAAAAGGGGATGATTCCTAAAATCAAAATTGGATCTGGGTGAAATTGCCACACAATTTTTAGAATTTAAAAAAATTGTTTTAGAAAATAAAGCGTCAGTAAAATATGCGCGTTGTGCCGCTAGTAAATCAGCTCACACCTGTTCATTTGTCAGGCTATAACCAGTGCGTACCACACTTGACGCACTGTAATTATAGTCATTTTGTGTAAAAACCCTCCTCTTCGACCACGCCTTGGGTCAACCTGGTACAGTACAGTAGAAAGTACAGGTCTGTGTTAGGTTGTAGATCATCTACGAGAGGGAGCATAGAGGTTTAGACAGACATCAGATTTGAATTCATGAATTGCTGTGCGCTGCACCTGTTCCAGTTTAATGCCGAGATTGATTTATGAAAAATTAATCTCAGTTGAGAGGTTACTGAACAGCTGGGTATCTCACTGACAACAAGCAGATTAATGTCTCAGTAAACTCTTCAAGCGTTGCACTACAAAAACATAACGCACAGAAATGGAGAAAACACCCAAAACCTATTTTTAAAAATGTACTGTGCCAAGTTTGCTGGCGATCTGTGCGCTAAAATACAGAACGCTTCGATTCTGCAACCCTTTTCATGGGATGTTAATTGCATCTGTAATTTGTTCTGTACCTATGCATTTATTTGCACATGGTTTACACAACTTGCACAATACAGGTGTACATGTTTCGTCCACCAAATACATAGTAACTACACTTTACAGTCTATCCTGTTAAGCGCTTTGAGACGTCTTGACAACGTAATAAGGCACTATATCAAATGTAAGGATTATTATCATTTTTCACGCACGGTTTACACATAACACGTGATCACACACACATACATAAATCATTCACATATGATTTACAGATAATAGATAGATGTGTCCAGGCACGATTCACACAATAAGACATATTTACACATGGTTTACACATAATAGTCCCCAAAAGGCAGCATTTCTGAAGTATTGGTCAAGATCTACAAATCACACATTAATAAACCTTTGAGAGGTTTTGATAGGAGTTGTTGCTGAACTCAAAATTAAGCAAGTGCATTTTTTGAAAAGGCATAAAAGAATTTGCAATTTTATAACACTTTCTTCTGACTCTCACTGCGAGAAAATGTTGGACTTCGAGTCCAAAATCGAGGGAATCCGCTCAGCTGCCACTGCCCTCCCAACTTCCAACCCCTCCCTACCCCCACCCCACACAACTACCCATCCGACAATTACCCATCCCTCCTTTTACACCTTTGAACCTGTCATCCCCTCCTCTATCCTCAACACCGTAACCTCCATGAAGTCCACCATCTGCTCCCTCGACCCATCCCTACCCCTCTCCTTAAATCCCAGCTCCACCTCCTTGCCCCACTACTCGCCGACATCATTAACCTCTCCCTGTCACCTGGCACTGTTCCTTCCCCCCTCAAAACAGCCACTATCACCTCCACCTTCAAGAAACCTTCCCTCAACCTGTCACAGCTATCTAGCTACCGGCCCATCTCAAATCTCCCCTTCCTATCCAAGGTCCTTGAGAGAGCCATTGCCTCCCAGCTTCACTCTTTCCTCTCTTCTCACTCCCTCCATGAACCCTTCCAAACCGGGTTTCCTTGCTGCCCACAACACGGTCAAGGTCTGCTCTGATCAAGGTCATAAACGACATCCTGACTATGTGTGACCAGGGCTCCCTCTGCCTCCTCGACCTCTCCGCCGCCTTTTACACTGTGGACCACTCAATCCTCCACTACCGCCTCTCCTCCTACCTCAATCTTCAAGGTTCTATCCTTGACTGGTTCAGGTCCTACCTTTCACATCACTTCCACGTTGTCGCGGCAAATGGCTTCTCTTCCAGTCCCCGCACTGTCTGGTGTGGTATTCCTCAGGGCTCTGTCCTCGGTCCCCTCCTCTTCACCCTCTACATGCTCCCCCTTGGTGACATCATCCGCAGACATGGGGTAAATTTCCACATGTATGCGGATGACACCCAACTCTACCTCTCTGCCTCCACCCTCAACTCCAGGACTACTGAGGTCCTGATCGACTGCCTGTCCGACATCAAGTCCTGGACGAGGGACAACTTTCTCCAACTCAACGTCAGCAAGACTGAGGCCCTCTTGATTGGCTCATGCCAGCGCCTCCACATCTCAGACACTGGCAGCATCAGCCTCCACGGCTGCACACTCAACCTCACTAAGCCAGTCAGGAACCTGGGTATCTTGTTTGACCCTGAACTGTCCTTTCTCCCCACATCCGTGCCATGACCGGCACTGCCTACCACCACCTCCGCAATATTGCCAGACTCCGCCACTGCCTCACCCCTCAGGCTGCCGAAACCCTCACCCACGCATTCGTCACATCAAGGCTCGATTACGGGAACTCCCTCCTCATCGGCCTTCCCAACTCTTCCCTTCACAAGCTGCAGATCATCCAAAACTCTGCAACTCGTGTACTCTCACACACCAGGCTCCGTAACCCCATCACTCCCACCCTCGCCCGACTCCACTGGCTCCCCATCCCCCAGAGGATCGAGTTCAAGATCCTCGTCCTCACCTTTAAGGCCATCCAGGGCCTTGCCCCCTCCTACCTCTCTGACCTGCTGACTCCCTACCAACCTGCCCGTTCCCTCTGTTCATCAGGCTCCGGCCTGTTCCATGTCTCCCGCCCGACCCGCCCTACCATCGATGGCCGGGCTTTCAGCCTCTCTGCCCCCACACTCTGGAACTCCATTCCACGGTCCCTTCGCCTCACTTCCTCCCTTCCCTCCTTCAAGACCCTTCTCTTCGACCGTCCCTTTGGTCTGCATCCCACCTCTCTGCCCTCCCTCACCCTACACCACCTCTGCCCCATGCTCGGGCCCCGACACCTGACTGTTCAGCGCTTTGGGACATCCTCCCGACGTGAAAGGCGCTCTATAAATGTAATTTTGTTGTTGTTGTTGATGATAACATGAAGATGTCTCAAAGCACGTCACAGTAATTATTGTTGTAGGTTGCGGCTGTTTTTGTCTCCAGATATGCACTGCTAACAGCGATGAAGTGAATGAACTATTTATCTGGAGGATTGTTGGCCAGGACACGAGGGAGAAACCCTTTTCAAATGGTGTTATGGGATTTCAAAAGCCCACCTGAATACAGAGAGACAGGACCTCAATTTAACATTTGATCTGAAGGATGGCTGTGAACTACACAGGAAGATAGGGTAAAGAGTAGGTCACTTGGCCTGGTGAGCCTATACTGCCATTTTCTGATCTGTAACTCAATACCATTTGCTTGGCTTGTCTCCTCACCCTTTGATGCCTTTACTAGCCAAGTGTTTACCTGTTTCACTTTTAAACATTCAGATCGCCTCAAACTAGCTTGCCCATTCAGTTCGAATAACTAAACCTCTTCAATCCAGGTATCACTCTGGTGAATTTTTTTGGGTCTGTCGAGTGTCTGACACATGCGGAAACCCATCACCGTGCTTAAGAAACAGACGACTGAATGGAATTACTCTGAGGTGATGGTGAGGCTTATAGAGGTTCCACATATATCATATGATATCGGCATATCAGATGAGCCACGATATTGATTCAAACTGGTCTATACCAAGGATATTAGTATTCCCAGGCAGTGAATGTTTTTCTTCATTAAAGAATATTGCGCTACTGTAGCCACGTTTCTTTTGCTTCATAACAAAGCTAAAATGTAGTGAACACAAAACACTTGCAAGCTTCATGTAGCACTTTGTATTTTCATTGTTAGTGCTTTGTTTCTGCCCATTTTTGAACTCAGGGAGCATTTGTTTCGAGTGCTGGTTCCCACACACATCTCCTAAAGACAGGAGAAGCTTTCTTTTCTCTGGGGAGTCATGTCAAACCAAGTAAAACAATTGATATTTGCAAGTTAAAGTGAAGACCAATTTAGGAACAGGAGTTGGCCACTTAGCCTGGAGGGCCCCTTCTTTAATGTCACGATAGATAAATTAATCCCATTCCCATCATATAAACAACAAGTAAATATAACCTACAGCACAGAATATTTTGGCAACTTGTAGCTAACAATTCATTCAGGTGAAAACAAGTGCTATGGTGTTGAGAGGATAATATTGGATTATAAGATCAGCTCAGAACCAGTCAAGTTTGATATCATGTCATAAATTAACGGAACGTTCCTTTACCTATGAGGATATCAGAATTCTGTACTTCTTTCACTTCCACAGCCAAAAACTGCTGACAAGAACTTGTATTTTCAACAGCTGTTACTGAGAGATTTAATATTGGAAATTGATGTTCTGGGACCAGTGGTATTTTTGTAGAACAAATTGCATTTTTATTCAGCACCTTTCACGTAAAAGAATGTCTGGGAGTGCTTCCAGAATGAGATTGATGAGAAATGAAGTAAAGGTCATGCAGTGAAATGCGGCAACGACAGTAATTTGCACCAACAACATCCCCAAATCTCCCAACAAGACGGAACAGCCTCTGAATTCTTTTAGGGGTAAATTTGGATGAGGGTAACTGTTAACCAAGACAACAACTTGTATTTATATAGCACCACTCACGAAAGGTAGTGACCCAGAGCCCTTGAAAGTGGCAGAGCATGACACCGAGCGCGGGGGGGTGGGGGGGGCAAGTGACCGTAAGCACGGTCGAAGAGGAAGGTCTTCATGCGTGACCTGAAGATGGGGAAGGAGTTGGCAAAGTGGCGGGATTGAGGGAAAGTGTTCCAGAGTTTCGGGGCGTAGTGGCTGAAAGAGCTGACACTTGAAAGCCACTTTGTCCCTACTTTTGTGTGAAATGGTGGTAGGGAAATTGTTCCTTAACATTCACCCGAATCACAAGGCAGATGGTATTTCAGTTTAGAGATTCATTCAAAAGGATGATTATCTGGAAATAAATATTTGTAATTAATATCACCTCCCGCCTTGACTATTCCAAAGCCCTCCTCGCTGGTCTCCAAGCTCCACTATCCATAAAATCCAACTAATTCAGAACTCTGTCGCCCAGATTGTAAAACCTGTAGCCCCATCACACCAGCCCTCACCAGGATCCACCTGCTCCCTATCACAGAACGGATCAACTTCCGGATCTTCACACTCATCTACATATCCCTTCACGCTCTGGCCCTTCCCTACCTTTCTGACTGCTTACTCCCCACCACCCGCCGCCTCTGCTCGGCTGGCTCTGGCCTCCTGCTTGTCACTTGTCCCCACTGCCCCCCAAAACTTTGGAATTCTCTCCCTCAATCCCTCCGTCTTCTTTTTCAGATCAAGCCTGAATACCTTTCTCTTTGACCGTGCTTACGGACACCTCCTCCCCCTTCCTCAGCGTCGTGCTCCGTCACTGTTAAGGTCTCTGCGTGAAGAGCGCTATAGAAGTGCAAGTTATTGTTACACACCTCAGCAAGAGATGTAACTCAGGGCAAAGTATTTGACTGCAGATCAAGTGGTCTCCAGTTCGTATCTGGATATTCCCTCATAGCCATTGCATTTAGGGCGCTATATAAATCCAAGTTGTTGTTGTTGTGGAGTCATATTCCTGATGCCTTCTCTAATCTCCTGATGTATTATAATTTCTTCTCTGGCAGCTACTTTTTGACTGTTTTCAGACCTAACTGCACCACTCTTTGGTACATTTAGCTATAATGCTGGCTGACCTATTTGGCATGTACTCAGGTAAGGATTTCTAAGAAGACTGCAATAAAATTAGTTGTAATTGATGCAGTGCGTTTCATCTCAGGAAGTCATCTCAAAGTGCTTCACAAAATTTATTGTAGATTGTCTGTGTATTTTGTAGATACCAGCCAATTTGCACACAACAAAGTCCCACACACAGCTATGAAGTTAAAAAAACAATTTTATTTGGGTGATTGTTGGCCAGGACACCAGGGAAATCTGCCTTCCTTTTTCAAATGGTGCTATCTTTAACATCCACCCAAACAGGCGGATGGGAGGTCAGTTTTATTGAATCATCCAAAGGAAGGCATGCACCTCCAACAATGTAGTACTCCAAAATAACTGAATTGGTGTGTCAGCCTAAATTACAAGCTAAATTCCTGATATGGGTCTGATACAGTGGTGAGAGAGCACCAACAACTGATGACACAAATTAATGTTTGAATGTGGCCTAATTATATTGAAGCAAGTTGATAATTGTATTTAAATGGAGATATTAATTCATTGAGATTTATGAAAGTACTTCATTAGTGAGAAATATCTAATCATTTATAATCTAACCTCAATCCAAACAATCCAATTTGGATTGATTTTTAGATTATAAATTATTAGTTATTTCTCACTAATGAAAGCATTCCATATCTGTAACAACAGCACCTCGGGTCAAATGCAGTGAGTGAATGTTACCTTTGAAAAGCACCAGGTACAGATTATACCAAACAGGAAGAGTAAATAATGCACACAAATATTAAAATATTTTGTCAATTTGACAAGACTTTATTTTAACCACATACAAGCCACGGGATTCACTATTTCTTCACTAACAATCATAGATCTTTATCTTGACTGGACTGGTGTATTTATCCCTCCAACCAATACAATCTGAGCCAATTCAAAACTCTTACGCGGCCTTCCCCTGCCTCCATTTGCTAATTCACAAACTACCATCTTGAATTGCTTCCAATCAGAAACTGGCTAAATACCTTATCTTGAACTGGCTCCTCTCCATTAATTTCCCAGATTCAATTCTCACCAAGGTTCTCCAGATTCAACACACAAACAGACTCCACAGGCTATGGGGATTGCTGGGGTTTGGGCATCACATAAGCTCCCTATTTCTTAAGACTTGCTCCTCACTTGCTGTCTGCCTGCTCCCAGTCCTGAAGTCTCAGTTGGATACAAGAGGCCATTCTCTCATGTGCACTTTTATTAGATCTCGCTAATTCAGCAATGAACTTTATGTCCCAGGATGAATTGAATACCACCTGATATTTTGCAAATTAATGGTGGTAGAAAATAGTACTGATTACAGATTCTAGAGGTTCAAGGAATTAATCAGTATGTAAATATACTGAACCTCATGTTGGAATCTGTACATTTATTCAGCTACAACTGTGTTGCAGGTGTTCAATGTTTCTGCTTCCTAGCGGTTTACAGTTTAGTTCTTCCTTTAAAATGGTCACCCATTGTCATGTGACGTTTATTGTGGGCATTTGATGTACACTTAATATATGGCCTATCCATTTGACTAGCTCTAGGCAGACAAATATGGTTTTATAAGATTAAACAAGTATACACAGATTATACCAACATTTTTTTTGTTTTAAAAATAATCAAACAGAATTATTTTAATCAATAGCCAGTCATAAATTAATTCCACATAAAAGAAGCAAAAACAGAATTACAAAGGAAACTTTCTTTTTAATGCAGGCGAGTCTTTGCCAGTTGAACTGGAAGAATGGCACAGAAATACCTGCATTCAGGTCCTCTCAGCAGTCTCACACGGCCTGACTCAGGCAGGAGGAATTTATTCATATTAACATTCAACACTGTCCCATACAGTTCACTCATTCACTTGTTTTTCAATGAAACCTAAATTTAGGTAGATACCTTTTGTACATTACTTTACAAAGTTTGTTAAGTTTTCTATGTACACATTGTATTTTATAATGTGCATCTCTAAACCACATTCAACGATCCTCCTGCAAGTGATCTTATTCTGTAAATCGACCGTAGTCTGCATTTGATTACAACAATCCAGTAAAAATTCCTAACTGTCTAAGCACATATAATCACCACCTCTACCACTGCCAATACCAGTGAAAATCAAAACGTTACACTGATACTTTACACATAGCAAAATTAATTTAGATCAAGCTGCTTTATGAAATTTTGTAGAAGAAATAGGGCTTGTACAAGGTAATAAATAAATCCATTCTATTTGTAGTAAGGAGCAAGGCCTCTACAACTCCTGCTCTATCTAGATGTAAACATTTCAGCCCGTTCTTCAATGCCATTAATATATAAATACAATGGCATTTACATCTTCACAGTCACACAGAGCAGAAACACATAACATTACAGTGTAGTAACTTCCAAGAATTGATTCTGCAAGGTTACTAAGTTTCATTGACCAACTTTTTTGTGATATTTCTATCAATGATGTGAAAACCTCCATCAGGACTGAAACACTGTTAAGTTATTCATCTCATATCGTAACATAAAATTTATCCTCCAAGGTAAACATGACTGCTTCGGATGACAGTACTGTTTCCCACCCTTCCCTTCCCAAAACGAGATCACTGAGCAGTTTCAACTCACTGAAACGACAACTTTTATTTGGAGATTTGCTGCTGAATATGAAGAAGAAACTCATAATATGATAATGCAGATTCAGTTCTGTCTTCCACCAAGTTCTGTAAAAAGTTTGCTTTGGATGGACTCTCATCCCTGTTGACACATGACAGAAAAGTCAATGTTATGTGATGGAGATTCACAATACACAGCAGTGGTCAATATTATTACAACTCTAGGAACTTAAATCCTGTATTTACTTAATACAATACTATTTGCAACAACAAAAAAAACATTATCAGTACATGGTCTGTAAATAACTATTGCTAAAATCGATATATTATTTTTAAAAGAAAAGCATTTTAAAAGAACTATTTTGAAATATCCTTAAACTTGAAGATGAATAAAAACAAATCCCCCAAATCTGCAAATCCACAGCAGGAGGCCAATGAACATCTATAAGAGCTAGAGAAGTTAAAGCTTTAGACCTGACCTTTCATATGAGTTGAAAGATCATTTCCAAAATGTAAACCTGCTTTCACTTTCAGATGCTCATTGACTTGTTGTGGATTTCCACCATTTTGGTGGGGGGTTGTTTATCAGATTTCTGGAGTCTGTAACTTTATGTTTTGTCAAAGTACTTACTTCACAATATAAAGAATTGGAAAGAGCGGTCTGTTTTCTCGAAGCCAGGAAATAAAATTTATTGTTCTTTGAGATAAAGCTGTGTTCAATTCTGGCAGCTGAGTCTTTAACAGTATTTGGGAGGTGAGAAGGGGGAGAAGAAATCAAGATAAGAATATGTTAATCAGCAGCAAATACACTTCCAGTTGATAACGTCATTAAATTATTAAAACTATTGGAATACATATCAGGCGTATCTCTGGTTTAGCCCATTCCACATTTTCGCTGTATGAAATGTTTTCTCAATTTACTATTTATTTGCCTGGAACAACTTTGTCAATTCACTTCATAATCTTTAAACTTTATTACTTTGCTGCAAAGTCCATTGTTCTCCAAGCAAGGCAGGGCAACACCACACCCAGAATCATCTTGGTTGCTCGTTTCTGATCTACTGATCGTTGCTGATCAATATAGTATTGACTGCCTCAGTGTCGATCCTCCTCCAATGAGGATGAACTTCCAGTCAATTGAAAACTTCTGGTGTTGTGGTGTCCAGTTCAGCTAAGTGTTACACTGGATTTCACTACATGCTTCAGTCCCTCAAACAGCCATGAAGTGAACGACCAATTTCATCTGGGGGATTATGGGCTAGGACACTGGAAGGAACTCCCTTCTTTTTTTTTTGAATAGCGTGAATGAATCTTTAACATCAATGTTATTTGTGTATTAGAGGTGAAGTTAATTTTGTTTGTCTAAACTTTTGGGTATTATATTTAAGTTTAAATTGATACACAAACTCAGTTGATGCTCTCAGGGGGACACACAGCAGCAGAGACCAGGTGATTCCCAGCTGAGGCCAGGTGATTCCCAGCAGAGACCAGGTGATTCCCAGCAGAGACCAGGTGATTCCCAGCTGAGGCCAGGTGATTCCCAGCTGAGGCCAGGTGATTCCCAGCTGAGGCCAGGTGATTCCCAGCAGAGACCAGGTGATTCCCAGCAGAGACCAGGTGATTCCCAGCTGAGGTGAGACAGACAGGTTTACTTTGTGCGTTCTATCGCCACCTCATGGCCATCACAAGAATGACACAGGTCGAAGCAGGGAGACAGACGCTCACAAACTCCCCTCTGGTGTATATGCAATATCCAGAGAGGATGGAAGCTCAACCAGCTTTAAATGTGGGAAATCCCCCATTACTTAAAATTATTTTAGAAACTGAATAGATTCAAAGCCTATTTCTCATCAATATCAGGTGTTAATGGCTCAGTTAGTAGCACAGTCACCTCTGAGTCAGAAGGTTGTGAGTTGAAGCTCTATGTGGGCACTCTGAGCTTATTCTGATATTCTAGTTCAGTGCTGGGGGGGGACTGCGTTATTGGAGGAGCCATCCTTCAGTTGAGGCATTGAACCAGGATTCCATCTACCCTTTCAGATGGACATTAAAGATCCCATGGCACTACTTGAAAAGAGAAGGGAGTTTTCTGGCCAACAAACCTCCAGATAAAATTGGTCATTCACTTTATGGCTGTTTTGAGGGAAATTGCTGCAGGCAAATTCGCTGCCAAGTTCACCTACAAATACACAGTTACTAACTTCACAGAAAAACCTTGTGAAGCACTTTTAGATGTTTCAAATATAAGGTGCTTTATCAAAAGTAAAGATTGTTACACTAATTTATAAAACAATTTAAGAATAATGCAGTCAAACGCGTGCTGCATATATTATTCAACAGCAGTGCATCAATTTCACACTTACACAAAGCCCATCAACTTACCATGTTTTGTGGTACTGAAGAGTAGTTCGAAAAGCCAAGCACTTCACTTATAAAGTTTGCGGAGCAACTCTTTCCGATCCAGAGATACAAAGCCTTAAAAGCAAGGACACCATTACTTCCATCTGGGTACAATGACAGACAGCTTAAAAAGACACATTATTAGTCCCTTGAAGTGAGAAACTTTATCTGAAATACCAACAATGCGTACAGTGAGTACAGGGTATGATTCTAATATTAACAAAAATATCAGATGTAAGGTTCCTCAGTACAATATTCAGGTTCATGTCAAGGTGTACGTGTGCGTGTGTGAGGGGCATGAATTCTAAACTGTTTAATTACATGACTTCCTAGACATGGTTTATGAGGACATGATTGACATGCTTAAAGAATTCAGTGATAAAATTGGATGATAGGGCGTATTGGTGGCCAGGCTTATTCTCAGTAAACTGGTTGACGCCTTTTAATGTAATGTGCATATAAAGAAAATAATTGGAATGTTTCTACCTTAAAGCTTAGTCATATTCTCCACACAAGTGAACCAACCATCTCCACAATTAAGATAATTAGTAATCATAGATCATTAATCTTAGTTTATTACTTCTTTATAGAATTCTTCATTAAAATACTAAATTAATAAATTTCCCTCAGGCAGTAGGGGACACTAAATTGAATCTTATGTTCTCGATTTAATTAGAGAAAGCTGAGGGAGGCATGAGGTGTCATTCCATTTCAGAAGAGCTGAGGTGTTGCCTGGAGCTATTGCTCACTTCCAATGAAATTGTGACAACATTTTGCTCTGGAAGATTGTCATATGGATGCACTCCAGACAAATCCTACAAATCGGAGCTCTGAGTCATCTTGATAGTCAATCGTGAGTCCATCTGCTGAAACATCTGCATGCCTGTGGGATGCTGAGTTAGTGAGACTCTTTGTCAACTCAATAAACCCAAAGGGGCTTGTAAGAAATCAATCTCATCTGGATGCAATGTAAATTAACACCAGAGCCTCACTTGCTGTCCTGTTTCTTGGATTATTTTTCTGAGAATGAGGTCTTCATCACATGTGAGAAAATTCCCATATTTAGCCTGAAAATGAGTTAACAAAGAATATTCATGACAGGTCATATGTCAAGTGAGAGAGAGAAGGGGTGGAAGAGTTCTCCTTATACTCTGTGAGAACTTAACAAGGTTGAGATTAATTGATCTAAATTCTACTGTAGTTGGCGATTGAAGATGGAAGAGGAGAAGACACAAAAAAGCTGGAATTGTATATAATGCAAATATAGATTGAATTCATGGTAGAGTTTATTGTGAATAACTCGAGTGTCTGGAATGTAGGGTTCGTAACCGTGATGGTGTACGATCTACCACAATGCTTGTGCTGGGTCACACAAATGTGCAAGATTAATCATTATCTTTGTCAACCTGCTCTCTGAAAGTGTCCTCTGACTTCCTCTTCCAAGACCGCGTGGAATCCCTGGAGAACCTGGTTCCTTCAGCCGATTCACTGAATGCTTTCTCATTGAGAACACTTCCAGGCATATAAATTGTACAAAATTCTATTATTGGGTCAAAAAATACTTACAAAACCACAATCCATCAAGTAAGCACCTTCCCGTGACAGTTTTTCTGCAGAAAGTTGTATAATAGGTGGCTGGGGAATGGTTCTGTCGCTGACGTTGATGGAACCCTAACACAAAGATAGAAGCAAAACATTACCAATGCAATTGGTCTTACAAGAGTGAAAAAAAGTTATTTTAGATATTAATATTTATATGGTGGTCTTATGTCTCAATAGATACAGCATTGAGCTCTAAAGCAGAGGCTCCATCCTTCCTCCCCTGGCAGTCAGACACCAGTGGAATACTGCAGTAGACTTCGATTTGCTATAAAGTGTAATGCTCTTCAAATCTGCAGCCTACCACTACATGATATAGGATACTCGGCACCAATGTGCCACACAAAACCTTTGTGCATAAATGTGGAATGAATACTTGGCAAGGATAATATCTATAAATCTCTACACTTATGGAAAGTACACTAATAATTCTAAAATAATTGCCACAACTGTGTTCAAATAAACACAAATGTCATCATTGCACTGTTTAAGATTTTTTAAACAATTTCAGGCATTAATGAGGGTCATGCATTTTGTACCAATGGAAAATTTTGATTAATTCTCTGGTTACTTGAGGTGATCAATATAAAATTCACAATCACAACCAAAACAAACATGAAGGACATCCAAACATGAGAGAGTGAATGATTGTAGCATGAGTGAACTATTCTGGCTGGAAACCAAATTGTGAACGACGCTAATTCAAAATTAGGAACATCTTGATAAATAGCAAACAGCAACCATTAGTCAAGTAAAGTGATAATCAAATGAATCACACAAAAAAGTACGAAATTCTCAGCCGAGCAAGAAAAATAAAGCATAGGTTTAAAATTAAAGATTAACAGATGGTACAGCTCAGAAACAGTCCATTCAGCCCTTCCAGTCTGGCTGGTGCTTGTCCTCCACACAATGCCTATCTTAGATCCTATCTCTAGTCCCATATTACGGCTTTTCCCCCTTATACCTCAACCTTATTCTCTCTTAACCATGTGTGCAATGTTTTTATTGAATACGCACATGCCGCCCCAACAATTGACCCCAGCAGGAAATTCCACGCTCCCACCACTCTCTGTGTTAAAAAAAAGGCCAATTCAATTTGTACATTTTAAAAAATGAAAATAAAATGGAAAGGAAATGCATTTCTCCCCAACCCTCCATTAAAGAATATGCTTGCTTCCTTTACCGACAATATGCAGGCACTTACAACACAATTTACAGTGATGGGACTTACACTGAAATTCTTCAAATATGCATGAAATCTTTCCAATCTCATCTCTTTCCCTCTTCTACCTCCCGACAGTATAAAAGATAGTACAACAGGGAGAATCAGGAGAAGAGAGTACAGTGGATTAACAGTGCAGTGCAGGTTCGTTATAACATAGTAGGTAGGGCGCGTAAAATGAAACCGCATTGTAAATGAGACACATTATATCACCTCTCGCACACTGACATTATGAAGCCTTACTCAGGTGCAGGAAGCTGCCCAGACAGCAGCAGAGGAAAAGAGGTTGAAAGAGAACTTTAGGTCTGCGCTTTCCCTCTATCACAACCTCTTTCCACAACAAATATTTGGCTGTAGCTCCACCTCACATTCACGTCTGGGATTGCTGTTGGTGCTGTATTGCATACACATTGAACTGTACACTGAGCACATTAGAATGAGACTGCACTGTAACACACTATGATGGTAGCCTCGTCTCTAGTAGGTTGAAAAGAAATAAAAACAGCTCTTGTTCTTTGACTCAGTATTGTCAAATCACAATGGGTCAGTTCACTCTTTTGAGATCCATCTCAATCAGCCGGCCTCTTTACAATAAATAGGAGTAAATCCCCATATTTTTCTGTCTTCAGCAAATTGAGCTTGGAAGGGAACAAAAAAAATAACAACTTGCATTCATATAGCACCCTTCACGCAGATAGCATCTCGGAGTCCTGGCAAGACAACTTCAGTACTGTATTTCTGTATGAAATTTGATTTACATTGCATTTTGGAGTCAAGAAAAATCTACACTGCACCCTACAACTGCTTGATACGACAGGTATTTTAAATGATTGGATGTCTTTAGTGCATGAGTCAAAGAACAATTATTTTAATGAACTATGTAAACGGATTTGCAGATCGGAAATAATTTACTGTATATAGAAGTTGAGGGTTTTGTGCAAGGATAAATGTAGTGCTAAGAAAGCAAGGAGTATAGAGAAAGCCAGAAAACAGCAATGTAGTTTTGTCAGCAGAAAAGACATATTATTTCGAAATGTATCTTTTTCCGCATGAGAGCATGCAATTATTTACTATGACATTTTCTGTTCAGGAATATTCTAATCTCATAACTATGACTTTAATTGTTCACCCTACAGTAAATACACCTAGTGGATGGAGATTCGTTATACTGTTGATTATTCTAATTAGAAAAAAAACCTTTAGAGAAGAGATAACCTCTGAGCCCTGGTTTTAGGAATTCCCCATTTTTACTGAAACGGATTTAAAGTTGAAAGTTTTGTTTTAATACATTATTGCTCTGACCTCATCAGATAGATTGTCTATTCTGTACAAGCAGGGATGAATCATGAGCATCAGATGAACCAGTGGCTGAATCTTCATCTCACACATGGCAAATACCCGTTCATCCAAACGAGTGCTGGTGCCAGTTCTGAACGCTTTCTGCACAAACAAAAGATCAGGCAAAATATTATTATTTTTTCTGTACAATGGTGGGTAAAATTGTCAAATAAATCAGCAAAGCCTGGCTTCCCATCTCGTCAGTTAGCTTTCCCCCCCCCGAGCTCTTGGAATAAAATCAAAGCAGACGTTGCAAACAGTCACATTGTGGCTCGATGAGGCAGGGTCTTCAAGAGCAGAGTGCTCTCTGACACTCAGCACTCGGTGCTTGCATCACCGAGCTGTGTTGCCTCTTCAGCAAAGTCCAGAAGGATTATTTTATTTTAAGAAACCTGGCTGACAATGTCACCAACATACTGCTTCAAATCTAATTAAGATCATTTTACCAATAGACAGAATTTATAAACGTTAGCGCTAGAAAGCAAATACAGTACATCAAGTATTATGTTCAAATCCAGGCACTTATGTCAGCAGCTCCTTCCTTTACAAGCCAGTAATCATTTATTGTGTGTTTTTTTTTAAAACAATAGAGCTTCTATGAAATTTACGAGTTTCTAACCTTAATTTTCTATTAGAAACCTGCAGCCAGAGAGACACAAATGCATAGACCAGCTATTTTGAATTTGCTGCCACACTGTGTAGAAGATTTCGCAAGTTCTGTTGTTTCAGACGTACCTGCTTCAGAAGAGCCAGAACATAGAGGGCGAACAGCCTGAGGCAGTACGGAGCCACTAATACAGATTGTTGGAGGTTAGAGACGGTTGAATGGTAGGCAGATAAAGAATCTATCGCAGCATTTATCAAGGCGTCCCTAGCATCGGGTAGACTTGATGAAATAGATCGATCAACAGCTGAGGAGCAAAGCATTGGTAAAGTTATGAATCTTAATGCAGTGCAAAATCAAGCCAGCACAAGTTTGGTCAACAGTATCAACTGTCATGATTAAACATACAAACAACAAATTACACTTGAATAGCGCCCTTCACGTCGGAAAGAATAAATAAGCAAAACCAATTGTTTGGCAGCACAAAATGTTGCAATGTCTCCCCTTTAACTTTTCCAATTTTAAACACGTCACAATGGGGAGAATCTAAGAATAAACCTGACATTTCTCCATAAAGCAAAAGCAAAATACTATGTCGATGCCAGCTCTTTTGCAACTCTTGATAAGTTGCCTCACAGCAATATTGAGGAAAACTTAAGAGCAAGTTGTTTGTTTGGATGAAGATGGTTTATGCTTCGGGGAGAAAAAAAAGGTTACGTTTGCACTTTAAAAACGATGAGTTCGTTTTTACTTGTGGCTTTCAAAAACAGGGAGGGGCAGGGAGGAACGAAAGAGAAGTACAAACAGGTACTTTTCTACGAATTGATCACTGCATCTGATATGGCTGTCAGGAAATAAATGACTGTTCGTGAAGGAAACTAGATGTGCAAAACGGGAACGGGTTCTTAAACACACGATTACATTTTAAACACAAGATACCTCTATCTACACTAATGCATTCAATCCTATTTCTGGCGTGGCGAGATACTTTTGGCTGTCAGCTCTGTTAGCGATTGCCAAACATTAGATTGCTCTGAAATTATGTTCACACATTGCAAACAAACAGGTGAGTGTCTGGTGTTCTGGGACCACCTGCATTTGTTAGTTGGAATTTTCAATAGACAAACCACTGGAGCACCAACAACAACAACAAAATTACATTTATAGAGTTCCTTTCATGTCGGGAGGAGGTCCCAAAGCGCTGAACAATGCCTTACCCATGGTTGCCAGAAGGCAAATGATCGCCTGGATATCTGCTCCAGCATAAACGTCAGCCGTGGAGCTCACAACAGGTAAACACAACGTGTGCACTCGAATACGACGCTCACCTGAAAAATGCAAAAGAGAAAGTCACAACAGAGCCTTAGTCTTGTTCCACTTGCATTGCAGCGAAAGTAGATGTAAGCATTGTGTTTAGGAAGCAATGTACTCACATTTACCAAGTTTTCACGTTTCCACAGTAGGCAAAGTTCTTGTGCAACCCTGCACCCCCTACCCAACCGCACCCCCATCGCTTTGAACAGCCATACTTTGCTGTCTACCTATTAGGTTGATTCCAACTTCCTTAAAATTAAATTAATGCCAGATTTAGTCAGCGCAGGTGGGATGGGTTGAATGGCCTCTTTCTAAGTAGTACATTTCTATGGTTCTAAGCAACCAGCTCTCCAAATTCCTGCCTTCCTTCATTTTTATTGTTACAAAATGTATGAAAGCATCAGCCTCCAGAATCAACACTAGAGATCAGCACAACCACTCATTTGCTGAAAGCTGATCTAAGCTTGCCAAATTCTACAAATACTACGTTAAAGGGCCAGTCGAAGAGGAGGGTCTTAAGATGGGAGGGAGAGAGGCAAAGTGACTGTGAGATGAAGATCAAAAGGATGGGAGCAGACAGGCCAAAGGCCTGACCAACGATGGTGGGGCAGGCTGGGCTGGGTGGGGGACATGGAGCAGGCCGAAGCCCGCTAAGCGGAGGGAGCAGACCTCCAGACATCCTGGGTGCTTCAGATTCAGATGGAATTTCTACCCTTTTAAAAATATATATATATATATATCCTTCACCAATATTTATTCCTGGGGATAGAATTTTTTAAGCATGAATCGTATTATTGTATTACTATTTACCAAGGAGCAGATAAATATTATATTCTTATAGGACAAGTGCTTGGAAAAATATTTATGGCTTTTGGTTACAAATGTCAAACTTTCCGTGAAGTGTTACACATATTTACATCGAAAAATAGAAATGAGGGAAAAAAACCTTTAGACTAAAACAAGTTACATTAAAATGTAAATGGATCAGACATATTTTGCAAACTATCGTACATTTAACTAGCCAAACCAGTTAGTTTAGAATTGCCTTTCCTTTTTGTACCAAATGTAAATCAAATACACCAGCTTGTAAAGACATATTTTACTGCATTTCCCTACCTTTGCTTGAAGTGTAAAGCAAGGCTGCCTGAAAACATACAATGGATGTGTCGACCAGACTTTCTTCGATAGACATCTGTACTGCAAATCCTGAATCAGGATTGACATTAGCGAGCGACAGCAAATCAGTAGAACGTACGAAGAAATTTCCATGGAAAGTGTGAATGGAAAGACCTGGAATCAACAAATCAGCATTCAGTAATGGAGCATTACTTTTTTTAAGAAAGCAATGCTTAATTGTAGATTTCATGAGTAATTTACAATGCTGCAAAAAACAAAACAACAAACATTTTATAGCTACAGTTTCACTGAATATGGTGCCAAGCACTTGTCATAGGTACTAATAGGATACAAGAACTTTTAATGCATAGATTAATCCAGTTGCTCGGTTGGCTGTATAATTTATTTTTATTTATTCTGCTCATATATTCCTGAGTCTTTACAATACTACTTGCTGTGAAGGGCACTATATAAACACAAATTGTTGTTGTTGAGTCTAAATAGAACAGTGAGAAGCAAAAGTGGTAGCATTACCACGTTGGTCAGGCCTAAGTGCTACTAAGTGTTTAGCATGTTTAGTTACAGCTATCCCCAGGGTTCTCTTTCCACTTTGTTTCAGAACAATTTCCCAGTTAATGCTATTATTTCCTCTTGCAATCTTTGAAACTCTCCTGTTTCAAGATTTCCCCCCACCCAAAAAATAATAATCCTTTTATTTGATATAGTCTTTATAATAATCTTTGCATTTGGTATAAAGTCTTATCATGTGAACGAGACGTCTCAAAGCCCTTCACAGGATTTTACTGTGAAGTGTGACTATTTTGTAGACAAATGTGGTAACCAATTTGCGCACAGTAAATTCCGACAAACAACCATCGAGAGGATGTCTCAAAGTGCTTCATGGGATTTACTGTGAAGTGTAGGGACGGTGTATTTTGTCGCTGAATATGGCGGGCATTTTTTAACATAAAGTTTTTAAGAGAGAATAAAATGTCCAGAATTATATAGACACACACACGTAGGATGAAATGATTACCTTTCGTACAACGTATCCTCATGACAGCCTCAAAACCAATTTTTCTAGTGAGATAGCGCTTGATATCCTTCTGAAACTTCTCCACTTGGGCAGGATTGTGAATGTGATGGAATGAGGGATAATGGAAGATGGATCCAGCAGAATATTTTGACATGCACGCTACAAAAAAAACAAAAAATTATATTTAATGAATCCATTACCAGTAAACACAGGAAAAGGGCAAAGCCATCATTGACAAATCCCCAAACAGAGATTGCTTAACAATCAGAAGAGACCTAATTGAGACATATAACATTTTAAATGAGATTGTAAAAAGTAAGCCCAGAACAACATTTTCCGATGTATAATGATAGTAGAACACGAGGACACAGGTTTAGAGTTGTAAACGGCAATTTCAGGACAAATACCAGGAAGTTTTTTTTTTATTCAGAGGTTATCAGAGATTAATTAACAACTGGAACAAGGCCAGGACAATGGACTCATTTAAAAAGCAGCTTGATGCTGTGATGGGGGAATGGAAGGGTGGATATTCTGGAAGGATGAGATCAGGTGGGACAAAAGGCCTTCTTCATCCAAACCATGTGATGCATTAATTCTCTGTGAGGCTAGGAATTAGGTTTTGTAATCTCACAAGAAGTTGATCCATTAGTGATATACTAAGTGTCTTATACCGATTTAAAAACAATTTATTCCAGTAATTCGGTTTTATCTGAAGCCTCAGATCTTTAGAAGCCTTGGATCTTAAAAACGAAATAGTTCTCAGCGGCTTTTTAGCTAAGTAACAATTCGTTACACACTAATGCTGCTTTATAAAAAGTGGGAGTGAAGCCACTTCACAGAAACAGCGATTTTGCTGCAGGAAGGTTAATTTACAATATAAAATTTTCAGCACTTGATAACTAACACTGAGAATAATTAATTCTGATCATGGATTAATAAACATCATCTGTGAGGTTCGGTATGAAACAGTTTACTGAGCAGCCAGCTTGAGGGCTTGATCTTGATCTGTAATACATATTTTCTGGGATGGAGAGATTGAGGATTGCTCACAATATCAGAACATAAACAATAAGCCAGAATGATAATTTATGAGCCACTGAAGCAGCTGTAATTTACATTAGACCGTCTTGGGCAAAAGAAAAGCATTGAATTCTTGACCTGAAGTAGGAAGGGGAGTTGAGACTTAGTGGCTGTTTAGTTTTTCACACTACGTATCACAAATAGTGCTATTAACTATCGCTGGCTATGAAACAAGCAAATTCTACACATCATTTCCAGATTTCGACTAGTTTCAATCAGAGCCAAAAAGCTCTAAATATCTAATTTGGTGCTCCTCACTTGTGCATCATGGCACAATTTGTGAATAGCAAATCAGGGATTTATTAAACAAAAATTTGACCACGCTTCTGGTTATCTTTCTCCGTCGGCTTCCACCCCAGCCAGCAGTGTTATGTTTTTTGAGACGTCATTCCAATGTGTAAGGTGATTTATGAATGTAACTGGTATTGTTAACTTTAATAAATGCTGGATATGTGATTGGCCCAACAATATTGAAAGAACCTATTGAAAGTATCCATGGAGTCCAACCCATGGCTTGAGAGCTCGCAATATCCCACTGAGGAGTGAGCTGAGTGTAATTTGCTCACACCATTTTCACTGCTGAGGTGTGAAATGAACCCTTCCAGTAGCCGCTGTAATGGGTCTCTAGGTTGGTTTGTGCTCCGGGAGCTCCTGTTTATATTGCATGCTTGAAAGCTAAACTCTTTCACATTGTGGCCATTCAGCACGAAGCACACAGTACAATTCCAGCATAAAATAATTAGCAGAAAAACACTTGTTGCCGGAAGGTAATGTGACAGAATTCTTTTGTGGGTGATTTTCCCTTTGCGAAAATCACCTTTGTGCACAATATTTAAATAAAGCAATTATAATCGGAAGAAACTTGTAGCAGCGGCCTTCAAACCTCCAGACACTGCTAAAGTGCCGCTTGCCCTGGGAGGAGAATGTATTATTTCAGCATACGATGATTGGTGAAGCATGAATTCCAACGGTTTGCAGCACTGAAATTAGTGCCAAAAGTTGCAGTTCTTCTAACTTGCCCTCAAGATTATATAAAGCCGCCTATCGATTTGACGTATGTTGGCTGACACTGGGGGCCGCCCGAGCCAATTATTGTAAAAGAACTGTAACAGCACCATCACTTTCCAGCAATTAATCACAAACCCACTTGTATACAAAAGAGTGAGCTTTCACCTTAGATTCGTAATTTACCATAGAACCAGTTGGATTTGGCCAATATTTTAAAGTTCAATTGATCAACTTATGAGTAATGGTACCGGGGGGTGGGGGGGTTAGGGAAAGAACAGTGACGGCAAATCGTACAGAGTAATGTGAGATTGCACCTCAGTGACTGTGACAAAAGTGACAAGCAGCACTGCATCGTGTACGAGAGTTCAGTTAAATGTCATTGGTCTCATGGTTCTCTAGCAATGAAATTCTGTTTCCATACCTAATGAGGCTAGATCGGCATATTGTCCACTGAGTAGAAACAGATCCACTGCGACCTGCTGGCCGGAACAGTCCAGAGCAAGCTTTTTATAAAAGTCTGTGGCTGGGCCAAGGTGCTGCACCCCCTTAAGTAAAAAAAGTCAGTATTAATAACAACATTACCCATGATTTTACAGACAAGCACTTGTCGAAAGTAACATCATCTACTTCCAGTGTGGGTTTTGCTGAAGGAGGTTATCCTCCACACAGTTCATGCAGTGATCAGAATGGGCAAACACAGGACATTCCCTTTAATGGCTTTAGTAAGTCACAAGCAACTCCATTGGATTCCGCCTTCCCCCACAAAACAGGTAACTCTTTAAAGAGAAGACAGACAATCATTTTCCGAGGGCAACCGGGGATGGGCAATAAACGTTGGCTCTGACAGTATCTCCCACATTCCTAGAGTTCCATTTTTTAAAAAAATTTAAAACCTTTGTGATATCTCTACAAGCATAAGTAGCTACATAGCTCAATGTTGAATTACACTGACGTACCTGGTTTGTAACTCCCAACACTTTGATCAAAGCGCCTTGAAAGTGTGCATTACAATCAGTGAAAGAAGAGTCAGCACTGAGTGAGATACAAGCCACTTGGCTTAGCATGATCAGACCACTGGGTTAAAGGCACAAACTCCAGGTCCATTTCAGTTTTGGGCACATAGGGAAGACTTGGGGATCGTTGACCAAGAACATTTTTTTTTAAAACTCTGTATTGGGATGTGGGCAACACTGACTTTTATTTTCCATCCCGGGTTATTCTGAGGAGGTGGTGGAAAGTCTTCTCTTTAAACCACTGCCATCCTTGTATTGATGGGGCTCCCACGAATGTGGCCGTTCCAGGATTTTAACCCAGAAAAAGGGCGATATTTGTCTGATCAAGATAGTGAGTGATGAGGAGAGGAACTTGACTATAGAGTATCCCATTGTTGCACTGATCTCCTCAGGAGCTTGCTATCTGTCACAAACTATAAATGGTCAGGCTTCCATTGTTTCGACTTTGAAGCTAAAGGGTGGGTATTGTTCCATTTCCAGGCTTCAAAAAGGTGTGAAGAGGACAATTTCTAAAGAGGCATTAAAGTCAGTTTTCTGCTAACAAATGAAGAAAGGAAACCCAGAGTTGAGAGTGACATCTTTGAGAACTGACATTTTGAAGGTTCTGGCGTTTGTGTCATTCACACCCTGAGAATGCTTGGGATTCACTGCTGAAAAGTTTTACTTCAATTCTAATCTGGGAACGATGTTCCAAAGAGTTCAACCAGATCATCAAAGGAATATTTCTTAAAACTGAGTTAATGTCATAAGAATTTCCTTAATGCATTTGAAACTGAGCACCTAAAAATAATAATAATCCTTGCATTTGATATAGCTTTTCATATCTTCTAGACCTCTCAAAGCGCTTCACAGAATATGCTGTAAAGTGAATTGACTGTATATTTGTGGGCGAAACGCGGCAGCCAATTGCACACAGCAGTGTCCCACAAACAGTCGTGGAATGAAAATGACCAATTTATTATTGTTTTGTAGGTATTATTATTAGGCGTGTGGAGTAAGGAAACTTGCCCAAAGTTTCGCCCTGTCTGGAATTGAACCCAGATGTCTCGCTTACAAGGCGAGGGCTCTAACCACTGAGCTACAGGACTCCACGAAGACATCTAACTAAGCACTGTTCCTGCATCTGGTAAAAGTTCCCGATGACAATTTCTCTACTTGGTGAGGAACTCTAGCTTAGTCTCCACAATGACAGTCTCCTACACAGAATAACATGGAAAATAAACAAATGAGGTAAAAGTATAAAATGCCCGCATGGCTAAAAGCAATATATGCTTATACTTAGCTATAAGTGATTATATTGGCTCAGTGGTTATACAGGCACACCCCAGAGACCAATAATCTCTCTAAAATGTATTGTGGAACAGGTACTTTAGACCATTATAACCTTCAAATGCAGGTTTTACTTTACTAACAGTGATAAAGAGTAAAGTTTCTTTTACTCGGAGTCCTGTAGCTCAGTGGTTAGAGCACTCACTTTGCAAGCGAGAGACCCGAGTTCAATTCCAGACAGGGCGAAACCTTGGGCAAGTTTCCTTACTCCACACGCCTAATAATAATCCCTCCAAAAAACAAAAACAATAATTAAATTGGTCATTTTCAATCTATGACTGTTTGTGGGACATTGCTGTGCACAATTGGCTGCCGCGTTCGCCCACAAATATACAGTCAACTCACTTTACAGTATATTCTGTGAAGCGCTTTGGGACGTCCTCCCGACGTGAAAAGCGCTATATCAAATGCAAGGATTATTATTATTATTATTATTACATTTCACTAGTACAAGCCGAATCTCCTTCACGTACTTATTTTTTAAAACAAGGCTTTTGCCCTTTTGGCATGAAAGGTGCACTTACCTTTGTGCTGGATCTCTGGTTGGGATCTTCCCTGGAGTGCAGACACCCGGCACCTATAGATGGTAGTAGTGTCTGGAACACAGAGATACGTCCTCCTGTCGCAGACATAAGTTTAAATGCAGCCTGTAGAGCAGGGCCAAGCGCGCTGTGGGTCTCTCTTGTGTTTGTGAACATTTTTGGTAGTGTTTTCAGTAAGTCTACAACAAGCTGCAATTTAAAGACAAAATATTAAATACCAGAATATTGCAAGGATTTGGAAAATAATTATAATCTTAAATAACCCTTGCACATGACATAGTGCCTTATCACGTAGTCAAGACATCTCAAAGAACTTCCTAGCATACAGTAAACTACTGCTAACTTGTCACTCCAAGGGAAAATAGCTCAATGATGAGTTAGGCATATGTATAAATACAGAAATAAATTTGGCCAGGATTTTGACAGCATGATGACTTAAGTGGTACTGACGAGTTAAGTCAGGATCGAGTTATCAGGAGTTTACTGTATACTGTAAAGTGGGGTGGTTGTGTGGACTTGTGGGTGAAATATACTTATATAGTTCAAGAGCACAGTAAAAATAGATTGCTTAAATGATTTGTCCCTCAGTGACATCCATAATACATTAAAAATTACTAATGTACAAACAAATCAGCTTGAAAACTGATGATATGCCAACATTCTTTGCAGGCAATTAATTATTTTTGTAGTTTTCAAACGTCTCATCTTTCCTGGAGTACTGTGAAGCAGACCACAAGGGGGCATTAAATGAAAAGCAACACCGTGTATGCAGAGTGCTCACTAAATCATTCTGTAACAGGAGATGCAAGACCAGTTTATACACACACGCGTAGAGAGGGAAAAATAGGGATAGAGAGACAGAGAAAGAGAGAGGAACTTTGCTGTATGTGATTATGTTACCAGCAAAAGGGCAAATGACAGCTTCTGGTTATACTGGATGATGTTGGCATCACAACAGGCATTCTCAAGGAATGGACAAAACACAGATGCTGAACTAACAACAAAGCACCGGCCTTTAACAGCAAATGTGCAAATGTGAAGTGAAGGTTGAGTGTTTTCATGTTCAATTTGCCGCTATACTGGAGTTAATTTTTCAATATAAAACCACTCAAATATTGAGCTGATCCCAGGATGTCACTGGGATTTGCCGAGACTTTGGTTTCTATTTTTAATCAGTAAAGTAGATCTTAATTCATCATGATTTGTTTTTTAAAAATATATATACAGTAATAATGTTGTTTATCTACTTGAAACATTCCAGTGGGCTTCGTTTGAATGAGAACCTTGTTCATTGCTAATTATCATTTCTCCATACCTGTACCAATGCTTAGTTATTGATTATTTTCAGAAATGCATCTACAGTCACACCAACAAAAAACTCGAGAAAGGCTGTGTGTTTGAGTAGGTTCCTGATTTATGTCTACGATTAAATTGGTACCTCTGTTGATTAAACTATCATTTTAAAATATTGCTTATGTGTGGGCATAGCTTTGTTCCTGATTTCTCTGCATTAAGCATTCTGAAATGGTTCTTCAGTGCTGTTTATTCCTAGTACAACTCATAAGGTTATTTTAATGCTTTCTCTCAGCTAAAGCTATTTTACAGATTGTGGTCAGGAGAAGATTGATTCTACAACATACAATAATCATTGAAAAATCCATATTAATGTTTTGGGTTTAAAATAAAAATAATTCTTACATTTGATATAGTGCCTGTCGTGTTAGTGGGATGTCTCAAAGAGCTTCACAGAAATCATTGTGAATGAAGCATATTGACTATTTTTTCTACTCGAAAGCGGCAGCCAATTTGCACACAATTTGCATTGCCCCAGAAACAACAATGAAATGACCATTTTATTTGGGAGATTTCTGGCTAGGACATCGGAAGAAACTCTCTTCTCTTTTTGAATTGAACGACAGGATCCTTACTAGCCTCTTGGACTTGGTTTAACGTCTTATCCGAAGGACTGCACCTCGAACAATGCGACACACACCCAACACTGTAGTAGAGCGTCAGCCTGGACGATGAGTTCAAAATCCCAATGTGAGACTTGAACTTACAACCTTCTGACTCAGAGGCGAGAATGCTACCAAATGAGTAAGCTAAAGTGAACATAGTGAACATACCTAAAAGCTGCTAATGTGTTTGATCGGAACCAAGGTTTCTTCAATCACTGACATACATATCTAGTAGATCTTTTGAAATGTAAATCCTTTGGAACAGATGCCCTAATTTTATTTCAGCTTTGTTGTCGCCATTCTTCCTCCACAAGGAGACTCTCTGACCGTTCGTGACACACAATGCTGTATGTGCAAATGGTTCAAAACTCACTACAAAAATAATCGCTGCTGTCAAAAACGAAGATGAACTTGTCCAAAAGAAACTACCGATTTCAAAGATTGAAGAAATTTCTAAGTATAGGTGAGGAAGTGTTGGGATTCTTAAGCATGGTGATGGGTTTCTGCATCTGTCAGTACAACTGAAACTCAGGTTGAACAAGGCAAGCCCTTCCATGCTACATTGGAATAGAGCCTACATGTATTTTTAATGTATTAAAAAGCTTTTACTTGGTTTGGAGTTTTAAATGTTGAGGATTACAAATTCAATTTTGGGGCATCACAGAAAATTCTGGATTATAGCAGAGCCAGTTAAATTACTAAAGTGTGTGGAAAACAATGTTAAAAATTCACAGTACTAAGAATCTAAGCTAAAATCAGATTTTTTTAAAAAAAAACAAAGTACAACTTCCCTTTATGCTTTGCCTACCTCCTTACTTTCATGTAGATTTACCAGCAAACTGTCTGGAGTAGGTATAAAGATTTCTGAGGATGGAAAAAAACAACTATTAATGACTGGAAAAGAAACTATTTTGATTACATAAAAGCTAACTAGACTAACTAACCAACAGAATAGTTCAAAGCTTCCTTTTTAGGTCTTACAATTATCTAAAACAAGGTAATAAGCCCACTAACATCCCTAGGTTTCTTTCACCATCACCTCTTGGCAAAATCTACCCCAACCATGGTGTATGTGTATCCTGTTTGTACTTCCTATGTGCAAATATCTATAGTGAGCATATTTATACAATACATACAATTTACAACGTTCATGTCAGCAGATTGTACCAAAGTGCTTGACAATTTGCCAGTGATAAGCCCCAGTATAAGATAATTACTGCAACATCCTGTTGAGCTCAGGATTTTCTTTAAATCTATACCCTTTTCCGACAAAATGAATACTTGAACAAGGAGCGCAGATGATGATAAAATCTAAGCAAATGACAGAACAGTAAATTACATTTCAATAGTGCCTTTCATGTCGGGAGCACGACTAAAAGTGCTTCATACAGCTGACTGGGAACCTGAGCTGGAGGTGGGGTGGGGTGGACGGAAAGGGAAAAAGAGAAAGAGAAAGGTCGCTGAAAATATCACAAAACCAAAAGAAGAATTGTTATGATGTTCTCTTTGGTTGTGACATGATACAAACCTAGTGGTGCAAACCTTAATTGAATAGTGAAATTATTTTAAACTCTGGGGCTAGACCAATAAAGCCTATAATACAGAATTAAGTTGTAGGGGTTTCCACCCACCAGTTATCCTATTTATAGTGCAGTTAAAAGATGAATTGTACAGCAAACCTCACGTATTTGTACAAACAACAGCAACTTAATGTAACGTCCCTCACACAGGGGTGCGCCCCAGGAGTGCTTGACAGTGGCAAAGCATGACCCAGGACCAGGGGGAGGTGAATGTAGGCACGAATGTAGGTAGAAAAGCAAGTGAAAACAGGGAAGGAAGGGGCAATGTGGAGGGATAGAAGAAGCATTCCAGAGTTTTGGGCACAGTGACTGAAATTGCAGCCATTGATGGTGGAACAGAGGGCATGAGGGACAAGCAGGAGGCTGGAGCCAGTTGAGAGCAGGAGGTGGATAGTGGGTTGGAGAATAAGCAGGTCGGAGAGGTAGGGAGGTGCCAGGGCATGAAGAGATTTGAAGACGAGTGTGAGAATCTTGAAATTGATCTGTTCAGTGATAGGGAGTCAAGGTGGGAGGTGATGAACGCACGGAAGTGTGTTTCGGCTACGTTTGAGTTACAGTACGGTTGGAGACGTAAAAACCCAGAACATATACGCCACAACTTTAATACAAGTTACGTTAACAGATTGTGCTATTCTGGCCAGCATATTGCTATACGGTAGCAAATATTGAAACATGAATTCTACTCGCAAGACACATTTTCAGTTGATACCTTCAATATCTGACACAATCAGCATTTGAGGCTGTGACAACCCTTCTTGTAAGTTGAAGAAGTGAACTCTGCTGTCAAATGTAATAAATCCTATCCTGGTCCTTGAATCTCCAGGTAACCTTAAAGATACAAACACACATTAAACAAAGAAGCATTGCCTTTTAGATTAATTTCCCACCACAAAAAATTCAAGCAATGTATTAACAGGAAAAAAGTAGTTAGAAAATGAGGTTATTCAAGGTAAATGTTTGAATATAATTTTTTAAGCATTTACATTTGAATAGCAAAGACAGGTATTCCTATTTGAAACATCTATTTCAAAGCTATTAATAGGACAATTTGGGTCACAACCCAAACAGCAAATTTTCTCTTCAAGATTTCACATGGTCGTAAAATGGGTTCAGATAAAACAGATAATTGATCTCATCTTTCCAGAATATTCACCCTCCCATCACAGCATCAAGGTTTTTTTCAAAATGAGTCCAGCATCCTGGCCCTAACCACCCCTTCCTGATAACCCGTTCCAGTTAATTACCCTCTTAAAGAAAATAACTCAAGAAATAATTCCTGGAATTATCCTGAAATTGCCCTTTGCAGCCCTAAACCTACTGGACCAGCCTACTGACAGCATACGGACAGGTGGATGGTCCAATGGGAGTGCGTATTCACTCAGTGCTGTCATTAAATTGTCCTGTGTTGGCATTCTCAATCCCAATTGAAGTTTTGTATACCTCTATAGGAGTTGTTGGGAGTTCTTAAGATGTTTCTGAATTATTTGAGGAAAGCATATCTGATTTGAAATACCTTTCTAATTTACACATGCAAATTCCATTAAAAAAAACTATCTTACTTATCCAAGTTTTCTAACAGTGACTGACAGAAAATGTTCAGATATCCTGATTCCACCGCATTATGGGAGACGTCAAAAACAAAGAGGTAGACAGCAGGCTGAGGAGGTCGCAACTGCAAAGCAAACATTTTGGTTACAAAGAGAAGCATGCTGCAAATGAAAGCTAGAACTTCACACTTTTACTAGACGAAGAATTGTTTAAGATTACTTAAAATCATAATTATATGTAACTGGAAAGACTGCCAGTTACATTATATTTTACACTTTTTCATTCTCTAAAATACAATGTTTTACCATGTAGTCTGAAGAAGCAATGAACTCTACTGTTGCATTTTGAACCTCTGGTCGTTTGTGTGGCTCCCCATAGGAACGCGTCAAAGGATTATACATAAATTCTTCAGGTACTGTAATTTAAGGTAAAATGTAAGATTTTGCTAAAATTTCTAAATGAATGTACTATTGGTCATTTTGAATTTACGCACATAACACACACTTTTAAATATACGCAGTATGGCCTCAATAGCTGAATTGGAACTATATCTGTGTCATGTGCTGTGTACATGGAGCACTTCTTGATACAAATATATAAATCTCTGCATCAGCACTGATGGTTGGTGGGTCAAACAGCCAAAAGATAGTAAGCTATTACTATTGTAGGCAACATGTGTACATCAATTTGGACTTCAAAAAATTATTTGGCATGGCACCAACCTTGAACATTGATTGCTTGGCCACGCTTTTTAGAGAAGTGGTCCGGATATGATAGACCATGAGAAAAAGAGGAACTTAGTGCATTGGCTTGCTCTCCATGCAATTTACTTGAAGACTATTCAGGGCAATTTATTTGTGTGACTGCTGATAAATGGCTATTCAAGCTGCTCAAGGGTAGCTAGATTACTCCTTATGGTACGTATATGTATAGGACATGCAATGAAGCCAACAATATTCTCATCCGGGAAGTATTTCAGAAACATTGGCGGCATTATACGACCGAAACAACAATTTAGATATCGCATTACACATTCAGAATCACAGTTTATGATTATATACTAGAGATTAAACTCTTTAAACACAAAGGTAGAACCAGTCTGAATAGGACTTAATGACCTACCATCATTGACTCTATAGCATAGGTTGCACTTCCACCTCCTTTGATCAAGGAAGGATACAAATGGGTTAATGTACGTTCTGCAGGTTCGGCATCTCACAATGGTACTGGACGTAATCACAGGCAAATGCTGAATCATCAATAAAACCAATCATTAGTATTGAACACAAACTCCATCCTTTTCAACAAAAAGAAAAGTTGGTAACAACTTAAAGCAAAACACTGGAAGCAGCAATTCTAAGTACAAAATAAACCTAATATCAATAACAACTTACATAGATAGGCCTGGCTGCACTCCTGTCTGTAACCTCAGTTGGCATAATTTTCTGTACGATGTCCAGTGGATAAATTGATTTATGTTCAGAGTACCCAGGATTCCTTCCTACGGTTATTAATATTAATAATCCTTGCATTTGATATACCTCTTTATAACAAGGTCAAAACTTCTCAAAGCACTTCACAGGATATACTGTAAAGTTTAGGGGCTGTGCATTTTGAACGCAAATGCGGAGGCTAATCTGTACACACTGATGTCCCACAACAGCCACGAAATGAGTGACTATATTTTTTAGGGGGATTGTCAGCCAGAACACCAAAAGATACTTTATATTGTGAAAATAAACATCAGCTGTCAGGATTCACACCACATTCACACTATAAGACTTTACAATAAAGTTCCACTGTATTAGGAAGAAGTTCAAGTTAAGAGGCAAGTAGTGTATTGTTAATAAGTTGTGAATTCCTGAAATGGGGTGTTAGGGCTAAACTTGATACAAAATAGATCTCATACTTTATAAACAAAGATAATAATAATAATCCTTGCATTTGATATAGCCCCTTATCACGTCTTTGAGCAGTATATCCTTCAAAGCACTTCACAGAATATACTGCAAAATGGACTGCCTGTATTTTTTGTGGATGAAACAAGGCGGCCAATGGCGCACAGCAGTAATGGATTGAGTGGCCAAATTATTATTATTTTTGAAAGAATTATTATCCGCGGAAAAGCGATCTGCCAATCGACTAACAACTGGGTTCCCATTACTGCTAGGAAAAGAGAGGCATGTGGAGTAAGGAAACTTGCTCAACGTTTCTCCTTGCTCGGGAATCGAGCCCAGGTCCTCTCGCTTGTGAGGCGAGTGCTCCATCCACTGAGCTAGAGGACTCCACAATGTACTAAGTTTACAGATTTTCATTTGCTCAGCGCTACATTTCTTTGTCTTACTGAGTGCTGCATTACCAATTCCTAGCTCAGATTACATCCAGATCATGTTTGGTCCATTTAAGATTCCTTCCAGTATATCATTAGCTGCTTCAGTTAGGGACTTTGCATTTATAGTTTTTAAGTAGTGGTTTGGTTCCAATTGTCCTGACGTATTCTATAAAGAGGCTATTCTTGGTGTCCAACCTCGTCATTGTTAAGTGTGAAGGGTGCTATATAAATGCAAGTTGATGTTGTTGTTCTCTGGCCAAATTGCTCCAGTTCTAATAAAGGGTTCCACCTCAAACATTTTTGTTTTCTTCTATCATGTGCGGAGAGACCTGCTGTTCGATCATTTCCTTTTCATATTTTATATTACAAGCATTCACAGCTTTCTCTTTTACCACTACATGGAGGAGCACAACATACAATACAACATTTTGCCGGACAGGAACATAGCAGGATTCTTTAATACAGACACCAAGTGGGGATTCCTTCCAGTAACCAGAAGTATCAAACACTGTTTTGGAGATCTCTGCTCCAAAGTAGATCACATAAGAGTGGAGATCCAACAAATCAGCTTGATGTACAGAGTAGATCACATCTGAGTGGAGTTCCAAGGAGTTAGTATGACACACATAGTGGAGATCCCACAAGTCAGTGTGACAAACCACTGGTTTCCTGATCAAGGAATCCTGTTATAAATCACTACATGTCAGCCTCATAGTGGAAAAAGGAAATGACAATATATATTTTGATTCTGAGATATGGAAACACACTGGTGTTTAAAGCTACTGTATAAAATATTGATCTGTCTGCATCTGGAGTACTGTGTAGGAATAGCGTTATGTTCTTTATGACGCAACCAAGATAATTCCAGGAACCTGGATTGTAAGGAATGGTTACAGAAGATGGGTGGGTTTGCTGTGGGAAAGAGACTTCTAAGGTGAACCTAATTGAAGATTTCAAGGTTAAGAACGGAACTCACTGAAGTTTATCAGCAAAATTGTTCACTTTAACAAAAGGTCCAAATATAGAGGGATGGGAATCAGACAACAGCTCGGTGTTTCCAACCCATCTTTTTGATTAGCATATATTCCTACGCATCCTGCCATTGCATAGCAATGGGGAAAATTCCATTCTTGCACAATGCAGATTAAAATAGTAAATGTATGAAATGGAGGAAGTTCCATCACTGCACATACCAAAGTGAGTAGAACAGATCAGTGCAAACCAGGGTGTTTTATGATGAAAATTATTAATAACCTACACAGATTAACAGCTGCACTCTTGTGAAAAATAACACAAAAATAACACAATAGAATTTTTTTTAAAAGTCAATTACCGTCAAGTCTCTGAAGGGATGCAGCAATAACCCAAGAGGAAGCTTTGCTTTGTTCAACAAATTTTGGGTCTGAGGGATGTTTGTTAAGGTGCATCGGAATAAGCTGAGAACAAACGGAACAGCAGAAAGAGAATTAAAACCCTTGTCTGTCTATTGTGCAATAAATACAATGATCAGGGTAAAATATTTTACTTCCATCCAAAACCTTGCCTTTCGTGTTTATAGCATATGTTCTATGTGCGTGGGGCGGGGGTAGGGGGGAAAAAGAAGGAAGCAAGAGAAAAACTATTTAAAAACTGCTATGAAATCATGCAAATCCAGGTTGCAGCAAATGTTTCATCTTCAATATCATATCAAGTTGATTTATAAAGAAATGGATATCACTGAAGACCTACCAACAAAATTCTGTGCGCAGCGATTCCAAGCACGGACAGCTCGTGTTGAGTGATAATAGTTGGGATTAAATGGAGACCTAATTTGTGATATTCTCAAAATGGATGGAAAGCGTTAAATGCCATTTCCTTTTAATGTCCAATATTCTCAAAATGGCCAATAACGATTTCCAAAAGGGCATCAAAAGGAAGGAGAGCAGAACTGATGACTCTGTGACTCAACCAGATATTCTAAAAACAAAACCATTTGGCACAATGTAAGAATGATTAATGGGTTTAAAGGTGAGCAACTGGAAACCAAACATGCTCATGCTGATGTGACAAAGTACAACATTAATTTTTACAAGCTATTTCACTGTGAAATGTAGGCTCGAAACAGTAGTTAGTGAGTAGTTGAGCATGGATGGGGAGAGGAAGAAAACATACAACAACAATAGATATTATGCCAGAACCCTGTAGTGATAATACAAAAACAATCACTGTCTGATAAAGAGCTCAACTATAACTATAAATTCATCCAATGTCCTGGGTAATAGGAGAATAACAGACTTACTCAGGGCTGCAGTTAACTTTTCTCAGTTCTGGACTTAAATTGGGTTGAGGGCTCTGGAGTGGAACGGGTGGAAGAATATTCCTATCTTGAAGCAGACTCACAAGCTTCAGAGCTTCTGCCTGCTGGTTATTCTGCAATCCAAGACCCTCCATTGCTGGTAAAAGCTGTTTAACACCAGGATAAGTCTGAAATCAAAGTGAAAATAAAGATTTGCATACAGGTTTTAAGTCTCAGTACCCCTCGTTACTGGTCAGACAGGTGTCTCAACACGTGAAGAAACCTATCGCCATGCTTAAGTCCCACCTATCCATACGCCCACACATGAAAATTTTCTTGTGACCAGAAAAGAATACCCTCTCTTCCTGGAGTGATGCACCCTGTTTAATTCTGTAGAGTATTTGGCACAAGGCACACAGAGTGTGTGTTGGGACACTGCTGAAGCTTAACCAGCTAAATCCAAATCGATTGCCATTGAAAGCACTGTCTGGCAAGTTTCCCGCTGCTTGTCCATCTAGGACCAACACACCCATTACGCCTTTGGCTTGAAGGGTCTTGAACGGATAATACAAGCCGAATCGGAAAAATCCTTGCTCCCACTGACATGTCTGACCCTCAACCTCCTGCTGAAAAGCCAGGCTGCCTGGAATACTGCAGACGTGACTCAGAAACTGGACTCCTGAGACTCCCACAGAGGATTGACTCCATTCCAGCATTCTGGTGCCAAGCAGGTTAACTTGTAGCCAGTCCAGCACCAAGGAGACACCACTTACTTCCCTCTCCAATGAAGCTGAGAGAGAAAGAGCATGCAAGCATGAGAGTGTGAAAGGTCCTACTGGTGTATTTATGTTACATCAGTACTTATAACCTCTAGATGTATAAATAATTTAGTCACACATAGCATTGATATAAAAGGTCTATCTTTAAATTGCAGAAGCTGAGTCCAGCATTTTAATATAAAACAAAACCCCAAATTTTGCAGATGCTGGAAACCTGAAACAAAAACAGAGTTCTGACAAAGGGTCGTGGACCCAAAACGTTGACTCACTTTCCTTTCTTCAAAGATGCTGCCTGACCTGCTGAGTGTTCCAAGCGACTTCTGTTTTTGTTCCAGCATTTTAATGCCAAGTGAAAACAGAAACCAATTAATAAGTTAAATTAAACTGATCTGAATCCAAGATTATTTGTGAAGATTATTGTGTCAAGACAGCTGTAGAATTCTCAGGCTAGTTTGGATCTTCTTAAGCATGGTGATGGGTTTCTGCATGTGACAGACAGATACTGATTTGGAGCCACTTAATTTGGCGTCACTGAATTGACACCAACATCGAATCCTTAAGGAAATTAAAGTACCACCCCAGAGCAACTTTCATCTTTAGAAATCTTGTATGCGTTGCTCCTATAAGATAACAGACCCTCAACATTCCCAAACAGATCAGAAGTCTTCCATCACTGTGACTGCTGGTGGCAAAGATGAAAGCACATCTCAACATGTTCAAGGGGAGGGATTATATAGTATTAACGAGGCAGCCTGCTGTTGAGAATCAAACATTAGATTATATCTATACACCTCGTACCTGAGGAAACTGCTGGGGGGCTGGAGGATACCCTGGACCAGTGGGCTGCGTAACAGTAGCCACATTCTGGTAGCCAGTCTGAAGTGTTGGATATGTATAGCCAAATGGCTTAGTAGTCTTTAATGTATGTGGGTCAGGAGGAAAAGAGGCCGCAGTGGTTGAAGCTGGTGTATCTGCAAACATAAACCAAGCATTTCAGAAATTGACACTATTTTACGCTGCGGATAGGGATGAGCAATTTTAACAAGATGGCTGCTAACATTTAAGCACAGTATTAATTATTCAAAGGAACTCACTGTCTACCATGAGTGGTGAGCCAATTCATCCAGGAAGTTCATCGATAGTTCAAAGTGTAAAGAGAACCAACATGCAATTCAGCGATGCAAAGCCAGCATATGGAGGGGATGAGATTACAAACCACAAATGATATTCACTTGCCAAGATTGTGCAATGCAATTTGGTTGGAAAAAAGAAAAAGTTGTGCAAACTACAAAACAAAGAATTGAAGAAGAGCCTTGTTTAAAGTGTATATAATGTTAACTCATTTACGAATTAAATGATGATGGCAATTCTGCGATTTAATTTGCATGATTAAAAAGCCTTCAAAGGTTCACTGCAGAGAGTAAATGTAAATTGTATTTAAAGCTGTGTGCTGATATAGGGATGGATCTGTGAAATAGTGTATGGATAACATTTGAAATCTTCAAAGACGTATAACTTCAAAGTATTAAACCTTTAAAGTATTAAGTATTTGTGTTAATGGAAACAAAAATCACCTTGGTATCCTCCGCCTTCCAAAGTATCATAGTTATTGGGAAGTGAAGTGTTAGTGGATGTAGAGGAAGAGGAGTCATCCACACCTGGAAAACAATAGACAATCTGTATCATGTCTAAACCATTAAACCATATGCAGGGTCTGAGTTTATGGACCAAAATCACCATGTTAGAATGGTGTGACAGAGCCCTCCTCCTTTGAGGCCTAAAATTTCAGGTTAACATGCAGAGCTGTTGAAAATTCTTAAATTCTGCCTTAATTTGGAAACTGCTTCATCATGAGAACTGCAGAAAACTAGCATTCAAGTTAGAAAGGAATTTAAGAATTATCCACAGTTATATGCAATCTTAATTTTTAAGACAAAACAGTCTTACAGCCAAAGACTTAAAAATGTTAGCTCTCTGATGTCCACAAATAGGTAATTGCCAGCATAGTTACTTGATGGTTATAATGCATTTGCACCCAATTATTTTTTTCTATCTGTCGGCTGGGGATTCTGACATATTTGATTGATTAGGTAACCCCTGTACAACCAGTGATAAAGCTAGTGACCTCCTGCTCAGTGTGGATTGGCCTACAACAAGGTGTACAGTGCAAAGGGCGTATTTAGCCAATGAATCACCAAAGTATCTGTTGTTTCACCAAACTGCCTTATTTCTACTGCAAAATCTTGAATGACGAGTTATAACATTTTTCATGCACAAATAAATAGCAGTGAACTGAATTACAATATCTTCAATCTATAAAATGATATTGAAGGCTTTCGAAATAACTCAAAACATAAATTTTAAAACAGACATAATGGTTGCATAAGTTGCAGTTCTTGATAACTATTACATATATATATATAATAATCCTTGCATTTGATATAGCGCCTTATCACGTCTTCGAGACATCTCAAAGTGCTTCACAGAATATACTGTAAAATGAATTGACTGTATATTTTGTGGGCAAAATAATATATATATTGATATATTCCCACTATTCTGATTCGTTATGGTGTCATTTACAAAAGAGTTAAATCAATTTCATATATAAATCAACCTGACAGATGTTTTGATTGTAATTCAAAATTCACTAGAACTACTTATGATTGCCTAGAGCAGGGTGGTCTAACTGGCAGCCCATGGGTCATTTCATTCGACTCCCCTCCATTCATCTGACCCACCTGATCCCTCCAAACCCTTAAATGTTGTTAAGGGAAACAAAAATATTGCTTATGCAGCCCGCAGATGTTTCTCAAAAAATGGCATCCAGCCTTCAGCAGCCAAAAGGTTGGACCTTCCTAGCCTAGAGGACTCCTCTGGTCCCATTATCAGCTTGCTAAGATTTCCCACTCTAATATGCACAATAGCAACTTGCATTTACATAGTGCCATCATGTATGGTAAACTCTAAAAGTGTTTCACATGGACACTCGCCAAATAATAAACTCATGTCCCACAACCTTATAATAATAATCCTTGCATTTGATATAGCGCCTTATCACATCTTTGAAAAGTTTCAAAGGCGCATCACCGGGTTGGGGGCTGTGGGAGTGTGTGGAAGGGGAGGATAGAGGAGATTGGAGAGAATTTTTTTTTAAGATAAGGTACCAGGAAGTAAATGATTTGTAGATGATGGTGAGGACCTTGGAAAGGACCCAGGAAGCCAGTGGAGACTAGCAAGGACTGGGGTCATGGTTGTGCAGGCAAACATTTTATCTCAGCATCAATCAGTGACTAAATCTCATACCACATCCAACTCGTCACATCAATACAGATGGTGAATTTGCTTACTGCAAGTGTATGAATTAAGAAGAGTTTAGTTTGAGGTGAAAAGGTCTCCCCAGTATAGAAGCAAAAAGCAAACACACTGTACTTTTACTTAGATTTACTGTACAGCATGGAAGCAGGCCATTTCGCTCAACCAATCCATGTAAGTGTTTATACTCTACACAAGCCATCTTACATAAGCATTTGATTTGAAATTTTATTAAATTACAAGCTAATTCTGAGCCATATAAAACATTTATCAGGGATTTATTTTAAAGAACCCTCGAGGACTCTATACCAAATGAACATTTATACTACATGTTGTCATTTGTAAAAAAACAAAACAAAAGCTGCATTTCTAATTTACTTATCATCGAACCATCACAAAGTATTTCACAAACAATCACGGTCAAGTGTAGTGACTGTTTTTGTATGGAAATGTGGTAATCATTTTGCCCTTGCAAAGCCCACAAGCAGGTACAAGATGAATGCCAAATTTAGCTGGAGAATTATTGGCCAGGAGAAATTTATTTCTCTTTTTCAATAGGGGCATGAGATCCTTAACGTCCACCTGAACTGGCAGACAGGACCTCAGTTTAATATCTCATCCAAAAGAGGGCACCTCAGACAATGTGCAGTGCTCACCCAATAATGCATCCTGGAGTATCACCCTGGACTATGAACCCAAGTCCCACAATCTTATAATAATAATCCTTGCATTTGATATAGCGCCTTATCACGTCTTTGAAACGTCTCAAAACGCTACATAGAATATACTGTAAAGTGAATTGACTGTATATCTTATGGGTGAAAAGTCGCAGCCAATTGCGCACAGCAGTGTCCCACAAACAGTCGGAGTGACCAAATTATTATTTTATTTCTTTATATATATACATTTTATTGAAGGGATTATTACCCCCAGAAAATCGATCCGCCTATCAACTAACAATCGGGTTCCTACTTACTGCAGGTAAACAGAAGTGTGTGGAATAAGGAAACTTGCCCAATGTTTCACCCTGCCGGGAATCAAACCCAGATCCTCCCGCATGCGAGGTGAGTGCTCTAATCTCTAAGCTTCAGGATTCCACCTTTTGATCCAAAGGCAAAACTGCTACCAATATAAGCCAGACAATCAAACCAAACATATATATATAGGAACAAAGCATGGTACAAACTCCCTTTACTTTTATTATTATTAATAATGAACACATTTTTAAAAACGTAGGACTTGATAAGTACCTGCACCAACTCTCGCACAGTGAAAATGCTTCTCGAGTCAGTGCTTCTGTTGCCATCACCATTACACAACATACTGTTTGAGACAAAGAATGCATAATAGAAAGTAAAGGGAATCACCATGATAGAACTACAAACTCAGAGATTGTACTGTAAATCATATTCAGCAGAAGTAATTTGGATAAATTGTATATTTTGCAAAATAATATGAATTTTGCATCAATTTATTAAAATGCTCATATGGAAGGCTTTGAGTTTTATTGCATGGAATATGTGTGACAAGTACAGTAGATTAGACTGCGCCTTCGACAAGAAAATGTTCGCACACAACCACAAACATGGTCTGCTAAGTGACGGATTAAGTCTCCATCTAGATTATTTTTTTTGTTGTCGCAGCTCAGGCACCCCACTGTTATATCACTGCTTTCCAGTCTGCCACGAACTTGTTTTCGTGGTCTGTCTCAACTGCATTGTTCTCCCAAATTGACGACTGTTACCAAATCCATCTATCTGTTATTGAAAATTTTCTTTGGATCATCGCTCTCCCTTTCCCTGACAGCTCTCAATTGTTTAATGTAAAGCAAGGCACTACACACATCACTTCACTCATTCTCACCACCGCCCTGTTTCCTTTTGCACAAAAAATTTAGCCCCAAGGAAAAGATTACTTCAAGAAAACAAAATGCTTCAACCATAAAAGCAAGAATCATACAATGTGGAGGGCATAATAGGCAAGGAACATTAGTTCCCTAAAAAATGAACTACTTCAAACCACATTCTTCGCTCACTTTGTAGGCTTGTGGATTACAAAGATTTAGTTTAATTTCCTCTTGATAAACAAGCATTTATTTTATACACCCGTCCACAGTGCAATATATTTTGCATACTAATATACTGTACTTGCTCACGGTTTATTATTTATTGATTAACACAAGGGATTTACTTGCTTTAGGTCATGCATGATGTGCCGCAGCATTTCATAGAAATGACAGCAGAGGAAGAGGACATTGGGCCCATGGAGCCATTTAGATCCTGTGAAGATTTGCCAATGATTTACAGCAAATTAGCTTAACATGTGCAACATTCAGGACGTCTGTTAAAACGTAAAGCACACCTGCTTCATCATCATCATCCTCATCATCTGAAGTTGATGACAAGGGACTTGGTGCTGAATTAACTTGATTATTAGCAACATATCCATAGTGCATGCCTGTAAAGTGGAAAGCACAAAACACAAGAAAAATTAAGAAGCACAAGAATAAAAGAATTACACAGCAAGCTAACAGGTTACAGAGCAAGTAGATAATAACAGCAGAGCTCAGACAAAACATATTATACAATTAATACACAAAACTATTACAACATTAATACATTCAAAGCAACCAGCAAATGTTGTCTGCACCTCATTTTGTGCTTGTAACAAATACATTTAGAGGTAACAGTATTACTCTGGATACACAAAAAGACATTCTCCCCTCAGTTACACAGAGAAATACAAATACAAATATGCTCCTATGATAAAAGTTAAGAATACCTACCTTGTTTTCATTCTTTAACCAAAATTATCCTCAATATACCCCAGGAGTAGCCAGAGTATTCAATAAGAAGAATTGCAAGGAGTACTTTTAAAGAATTTTTGAATTAATTAGTACAATTAGACTGGCAGCCACTTGTCTCTCCCTTCACACACCACATATAGGTCCATTCACCACAACCTGTAGTACTCTTCTACGGTGAAAATAACATTTTGTTACATATGAAACCAAGGCTACTAAGTAATAACCTGTGGTGAAATCTAATAGCTGAGATATTATTGATCAATTGTAATAACCTGGAGTTCACCAACACACGTGCCTGCCACAAGTGCCATTTCCCTTCACAAGTCGACAGTTAATGTAAAAGTTTGGAGAGGATTGTGAATACATTTATGAAGTATTAAGTTAAAAACATAAGGAGCAGTAAGGAATAAAGATCTGAGTTGCATTCCTATGTCTTTTACATGATACAAGAAGGATGTATTTCTCAAAACATTTGTAGAACTGCTGCAACATTCATTCTCATGAAACCAAATTGAAGAATCAGCAAATGCTGGAGATAAAGACTATCAATCAGCATGTCACAGAATGACAGCTCCAGTTTCTTGGATGAATATCAAGTGGTATTGACAGGGAATAAAAGAAACTCGTACAGAATCCTTCAAGCATGCTGACTGGTTACTTTTGATCAATCATTTGCAACTTGAGGTAGCTGGCAAGTTACTAGAAACTGCTGTTCGCCTGCAAAATACAGTCACTACATGTTACAGTAAATTCCATGCAGTGCTCTACCAAATGTGATACAGTGAAGAGCAGCTTGAATAGTTGGCAACTCTACAGGTTAAATGAATGTACCTGGCATGGAAATGTATCTGGAATGTAACCACAAATTAAGAGTGGTTTTACACAGAGAACGTGAAAAAAAACTTTGTTGGTACTGCCCCTCAAGACATAATAATAATAATGGTGACGAGCCTAAAATAACTCAAGCTAAAAAAAACATACAATGTTTAACACGATTTATGTGCAACCTGCAGTCCACTCAAGTCAGTTAAAATCTAGATTAGTGACCAGAAGATTGAAATTACAGTGGTTCACTCAACCTTATGCTCTTTCAAGGTGGAATGTACCAGGTGTAAAGTGGAGGCACGTAAGATCTCTTTGGGGTTGAAATATGATCCAGGAGAGAAATGAGGGACCCTGGCAACTTATAGCCCAAAGAAACACTGCTAAAAGGTTCCTGGGTTTATCTTATGGAGCAATTACCAACACAAGCATGTGTTTCTACTCCTTTCTGCCATTCCAAAGATAATTAGTGAAGTCCTGTAGCTCAGTGGTTAGAGCACTCAACTCACAAGCAAGAGACCTGGGTTTGATTCCTGGCAAGGCGAAATGTTGGGCAGGTTACCTTACTCCACACGATTCTGTTTACCTAGCAGTATGTAGGAACCCGGTTGTTAGTCAATTGTTGGAACACTTTTCCGGGGATAATAATCCGTAAAAAAATAATAATTTGGTCACTCAATCCACGATTGTCTGTGGGAAAGTGCTGGGTGCAACTGGCTATCACATTTCGCCCACAAGCATGCAATCAATTCACTTTACAGTATATTCTGTGAAGCACTTTGAGACGGCTACAAGACGTGAAAAGCGCTATATCAAATGCAAGCATTATTATTATTATATTATTATTATAATAATCTTCTGGTTCGGTTGAGTCTTTTCAGACCACCAGTAAAATCTCAGCTGATTTGTTCTACCATACGACCTTTCTACCATCAAAGGACAACTCAACCAACTTGGCCTGCAGGACCATCGGAAGACCCAAAATATGCAGCCAGGTAAGACATTAGATCAGGATGTTCAGCTTGTACATCTAGGGAACCCACTATGGGAGAGGTGGATGGCTTGAGCAGTAAGATTGCCATAACATCTATTATATGAAGCTGGAGCCTCCTATTTACAATGAAGGAGTCTACATGAGGAATAGTGAAGTCTCTCACACAAGGGATCTGTGTGGTCGGTCTCAGAAAAAAAATGTGACTAGGATAAGATTTCTGGTCAATGAATATAAAGGCTCAAAATTCTACACTATGAAGATCAATGTCCTATAAATTGAGCTGTTTGGACAGTTTCTCTGGATGTTGAGTTCTTAATCCTGGGAAGGGACTTAATATACAACTGGAGGACAATGCCAAAGTAAACAATGAGAATACGTTCAAGGGCTCCAATGGATACCCGGTGAATTTACTGAACATGGAAAACTCTTGTGGTGCACTCGGTCTGAGAGAATAATCCAAGATATATTGGGCACAATTTCATATTATGCTTCAGATCCTTCGATGAGAGATTAAACCGAGGTCCCGCCTGTCTATTCAGGTGGATGCTAAAGATCCCATGGCACTATTCAAAAAGAGAAGAATTTCTCCCGTGTCCTGGTCAACAATCTCCCCAAATAAAAATGGTGACATATCATGGCTGTTTGTGAGATATTGCCGTGCACAATTGTGCTGCCATGTTTGCCTACAATTACAGAGTCACTTCATTTCACAGTGAATCCTGTGAAGCGTTTTCAGACATTCTTCTGAAGTGATAAGGTGTTATACCAAATGCAAGGATTATTAATATTATTAAGTGAGACAATGGTACCCATCATGTTCATAAAGATTTGTATATGTTGCTTGAAGCCAAACAAACATATTCAATACAAGAATAAAATCAATTCTCCCCCCCCCCACCCCAAGAAAAATAAAAGAAAAGCAAGGAACAAGCAAACATGAATATTATCATAACCACAATGTTTAACAGCTTAATTCTTTAACCTTGGGTAAAGGGAGGGTGATCTGTTAGTAATATGGAAATACAACTGTGACTGCATAGCAAACCACAAGAAAATGCCTTTAGGCAGCTTGATCCCAACATCAAAATCAACCTAATGAGATTCTATCCTTGTGATTCTTGCAAACAAAAATCCAGAGTATTTCTGCAGCAAATAAAGGAGGCAACAAAGAAGGATGGTTTTGATCAGAAATTTAGCTCCATTCCTTAATTCACCACTAGGAAAATCTTTGCTATATGCACAAATCACAATGGCAATGAGCATGCTGAATTGATATCTTACTGTAGCTGCATCTTTGCCATTCACGGCCTTGCTCCCTCCTACCTCTCCAACCTACTATCCCCCTACCTACCTGCCCGTACCCTCCGTTCCTCTGGCTCTGGTCTGCTCCACGTCCCCCGCCCCAACCGCCCTACCATCGGTGGTCGGGCCTTCAGCCTCTCAGCCCCCAGGCTCTGGAACTCCATCCCCCAGTGCCTTCGCCTTGCTTCCTCCCTTTCCTCCTTCAAGGCCGGTCTCAAAACCTTTCTCTTTGACCGTGCCTTCAGCTCCCCTCTCGACTCTCTTCCCCCTCCTCGCTCCCTCCCTTCCCTCCCCTCACCCTGACCATTTCCCCCCTCCTTGCTCCCTCCCTTCCCTCACCCTGACCATTTCCCCCCTGCTCGGGTCATGACCCAACTGTGCAGCGCCTTGGGACGTCCTCCTGACGTGAAAGGCGCTTTATAAATGGAATCTTGTTGTTGTTGTTGTTGAATGGACTTTTCCATTGCAGAACGAGAGCCCTTTTCAGCCCAGGAGTAACTCATAAACATTTCCTAACGTGACATGTCCATGGTTCCAGCAGGCACCAGGTACTTATGAATATTTTCCTACAACCAATCTGAATCTTTAAACTCATCTAAACTTGTAGCAGAATTTGTGTGTAGGATAAAGGCGTTTTTTGTTAATTAAAAAAAGAAAAAATGTCAAATTTACTCCCAAAATATAAAATCTGTTTCTTGAAGAAAACTCAGAATGCCCCCTTGTAAACAATATTTATTTTCCTATTTAAAAAGGGTAATTGCAGTCCCTTTGGGAAATTGAGCAATTATAGTTACACACCAGAACATCCCAAGTGTTTATCATTTAGTGACAACACTATCCAGTATGGCAGTGACAAGTGCACCCAACTTTTGTGATAATGTAACACTGAAACAATAGATTAGTTTATACAAAAAGATCGAGTTGAAGAGTTTTAAGTTCTTCAGATACATATTGTTCCAATAATGCCAAGTTCAGGCCTCCACCATGTTGTTAAGTTAGATTTGTTCACATCATTTGGATACAATTATACAGTCAATTAAATTTAGTCTATTCTGTGAAGCGCTTTGAGACGTCTAGAAGATGTAAAAAGCGTTATATCAAATGCAAGGATTATTATTATTATTACAATCATTTTCTTTATTGGGAGGTCCTCCTGACGTGAAAGGCTCTATACAAATGTAATCTTGTTGTTGATGTTGTTATAATGTTTATTTTTGATAAACATATGATGTTGTCAAGATGTCTCTAAGTGCTTCACAGGATATACTAAAGTGTGGGCAAATGCAGCAGCCAATTTGCACACAGTAATGTCCCACAAATAGCCATTGAGTGAGTAACCAATCTTATGATAGTAATAACCCTTGCATTTTGTATAGTGCTTTATCACGTCAGAAGGACGTCTCAAAACGCTTCACAGGATTTACTGTGAAATGGAGTGACTGTGTATTTTGTCTGCAAATGCAGCAGCACAATTGCACACAGCAATGTCCCACAACCAGCTATAATAATAATCCTTGCATTTGATATAGTGCTTTTCACGTCTTCTAGACGTCTCAAAGCACTTCACATAATAGACTGTAAAGTGAATTGACTGTATATTTTTGGGCGAAGCTATGAATTGAGTAACCAATTTAATTTGGGGGATTGTTGCCCAGGAAAAGAGAAACTCCCTTCACTTTTCGAATAGTGCCATAGGATCTTTCACGTCCACCTGAACTGGCAGACAGGACCCTGTTTAACATCTTATCCAAAGGTCCAACAATGGAACCCACACCCAGTGCTGGACTGGAGCATTGGCCTAGTCTATAGGTTACAAGGACATGTGGGACTTGAACTCACAACCTTCTCACTCAGAGACAAGAACTGAGCCAAGTGGACACATATACAATACCTTCTACTTGCATCAAACCTATTTTGGAGAATGTCTTCTTACTTTAGATTCAACTTCTTATAAAATTAAATGGTTGATTAGATAAACAATGATAATAATCCTTGCATTTGATACAGCACTTTTCGCATTCAGGAAGATGTTTCACAGGCTTCACTGTAATGTGTGGTATCTGTATTTGTATGCATGAGTAGCAGCCAATTTATACATAGCATTATCCCAAAAATAGCTATGACCAATTTTATCTGGAAGATTGAAGATCTTCCTCTTTCACATGCTTTGGGTCACCTCCTCTCTCCAAGGCGCAGAGTTAAGCTCTGCCACTGTTCAAGCTCCGAGACGTTACACATGTGAAGGGCGCTATATAAATGCAAGGTGTTGTTGATTGTTGGTCAGAACACCAGGTAAAAACTCCTCTTTTCAAATAGTTTTACTGTCAAGCTAAGGAAAATCAGTTTTACTGTTAGGCCAAAGAAGTAAGTCGGCGCTAGAAACTGCAAGGGAGGGAAATAAGTAGAGTGCTGGCAGGGGACTAAAACTAACACTGACATAATACATATTAAACACGAGGATAGTGAAATTAATCATAATTCTCCAAAATTGATCAAAGCTTACGGATAGTAAGACTGTGCTCTTTCTAAACCTGGAACATGGATGATATGAGAAATCCTCCTTGCTCCTCTTGACTGAAGAATAATCGGTTGTGGCTTGGAAGAAGTATCCTCAAAGAAATGTTTTACACTGCATTACTTTTCCTGGCAAATGAGTGTTGGATGATGCATTTAACCATGAATCATCATTTAACGCTCATTTGAAAGGAAAACTAATGCAGCAGAATGTCTGATACTCTCAAATGAGTGTCTGCTCAACTGTAATATTTGACTTTCCCTGAAGTTATGATTCTGTGTCACACATGAGAGCTACATGTTCATAACAGATCTCATACTGCTTTGTATTTTGATTCCACCATTTTAACGGCACAGCATTCTGAAATTTGGACAACAAACTGATAACCCATATAGTTTCTACAGCCTCATCTTGCCCATCAGTGGAGATATCAGATGTTCTACTCCACTCAAAACCCAATATTCATAAATTGTTTTTTTTAAAAAGTAGACGAGAACAATTTCATACAAATGGCAAATGTTAGCACCAAAACCTTCAAAGAAGATCTTCAATCCTATGGAATGCTAATTGAAGTGCAAAACACGAATGCGTTAACAGCTCTAACTGTGCAAGAGCACGAATGGAGTACCTCACCAACCTGATGCTATGTCAAATACTGGATGTTTCAGAAACAAAAGCACAACTCAGGGCTGCTATCTCCTGGAGACCTTGCACATGAAAATAATGATTCAGGGATGGATGACTAGTCCTTACCAATACTCCCTCAGGAGTATTGCCTTTCCATTGCTCGATCCACTGCATTTTTAAAAGCATCTCATGAATCGCATCTTAGTAGCACCACCTTCCCTTATTTTCTAAGACAGAATCAAGCAATGCTTTATGTCATAAATGCCAGAAAGATACGCAAGCTTCAAAAGACACATTTGGGATTTCTTGCCAGCTTTCAGCTATGATGACCTCTGGAAGAGGTTGTTTATTTAAGACCTTCCTCCTGGAGAATTAAAGTGCTAGGGGGATCCCGAGCACACCTTGTGATGTGAATAGTGAATAGGTGAATAGTGACAGAGCTTGCAGTCCAGCTTCAAAAACTAACTGCATCAGTGAGGGGGAAAAAGCCACTTGATGATAAGTGCAGCAAAAAAAAACTTGTATAACAAAAAAAATTGTAAAATATCAATACAAACTAATATGGAAAGATAATATATACATATATAATCATAATAAAAATATAAACGCTCAATCCTCAAAGATGGGATCGCTCACATGAAATAGATAGTTAAAACATCAGTTTAGATGCCAAATCTGCGCAAGTAGCCAAGGTTGGAACTACAGTGCAAGAGGATCAGTGCCGGATTCAAAAAGTCCCTCAAGGTGGGATCGACTGTGTACCCCCAGGGTGTTCCAGTCCCCCTCCATTTACAATTAATCTCTCTGCGAAACACACCTACCTCTCCTCATCGTTTACACACCCTTTCTGGTTTCATCTACTCGCAAGAAAAAAAACAATAGCAGCAACACAGCAGTGAGTCGCACGCCAGCAGCTGTACCAGCTGGTGTGTTGCTTGAAAATGACTCTCCTCTTTCTGACTTGCAGAGGGAGAAGAGAGAGAGACTCTCACACACACACACACAAACATACGCACACACTCGTGTCTGTGCACATACTCGCGTACACACAAACCCAGACATATGGGCGATAACATAGATAGAGGTGAATGTCACCCATTGGCAGAGGAAAATATTTTGATTAAAGTGAAGGAGGCCAAGGACCACGGAGGACTAGGTAGGACGAGCTGGTGGGGGAGGGTGGGGGGCAGTTTGAGAGGGAAAGCATGGTTCTGAGCGTTGATGAGTGGGTGAGATTAAAAGGAGCTGGGTCCTGGGCAATTGCTGTTTTGGTCTGGAAGTAAAATGGTCTCATTTACTAAATAACAGGTGAATGTGACATTTGTGAAAGAGAGTTACATATACAAGTATGTAGAAAGAGCAGGAGAGGCAGAGGGGGCGAGCAGAAGCAGAAAGCAAGGTAGTGAGCTAATGATGGTGGAACAATAATAATCCTTGCATTTGATATAGCGCTTTTCACGTCTTCTCGACGTCTCAAAGCGCTTCACAGAATAATAATAATAATAATCCTTGCATTTGATATAGCGCTTTTCACGTCGGGAAGACGTCCCAAAGTGCTTCACAGAACACTGTAAAGTGAATTGACTGTATATTTGTGGGCGAACGCGGCAGCCAATTGCGCACAGCAGTGTCCCACAATCAGTCATGGATGGAAAATGACCAATTTATTATTGTTTTTTTATTTTGGAGGGACTAACAAGGGAAGAGTTCGTAAAAAACTTTGGGAGAGGGTGGGTTGGGCAAGCTTTTTGAAGCTGGACTGCAAGCTCTGTCACTATTCACCTTGCGAGTGAGCGAAAAGGCAGTAATTTTAAATTATTAAAATTCCAAACATAGTATTAAAAATGGCAGCTGTCGATCATTAAGTGCAATGGAATTTTGTTGTTGGGTGAGGGGGAATAAGAGAAAGAGGCAGATAAAAATCACAATGGGAGAGAGGGGTAACATTTACCTTCTTGTGCCTCTGATGCAGAAGCTGGTGGTGCAGAGGCAGATACAGGTGGACCAACTGAAGTAGGTGGATGTCTTGCAAGAGGAGTCCCAACTGGTGGAAACTGTCCTACATTTGGTCTGCCAAGCTGATAACTTTGGTTGATGTGATGGGATATCGAACCTAAATGCAGAACAGGCTTTTATTACCACTTTCCTGACTTGAACAGGCATTGTTTGATACAAGACAGCAACTATTCAAATTACATGATGCAAAAGGAATCTTGAGGCTTATCCAGTCAAATGAAGATGAAAACAAAAGTGATGACTTTTGATCACTTGTAAAAACTTAAACCAAATTATTTTTGTTTACATTTGTGTAGCAAACTTTATTTTAAACTTTGCTAATTATGACTATCCAACCTTTACCATTGGAACTATAATTGTTCTGAAGGTTCAGGCATGTAGTGTGCTCCATTCATATCCTTCACATGAGCTCAGCGGGCTCTGCCTACTTCATGTTCCCCCACCTTGCCTGCCACACCACTGGCGGGTGGCCTTCAGCCTGTCTGTCCCCATCCTCTGGAACTCCATCCCACAGTCCCTCAGCTTCGCCCATCCCTTGCCTCCTTCAAGACTCGTCTCAAGACCCTCTTCTTCAACCGTGCCTTCGGTCACCCTCCTTCCCCCTTGCCCTCCACCCTCCCCGTTCGGGTCCAAACCCTGACTGTCCAGCGCTTTGGGATGTCCTCCCAACATGAAAGACGCTATACAAATGTCATTTTGTATTGTATGTGACATTAAACCAAGAACCCTGCTGCCTATTCAGGGGGACGTTAAATATCCCATGGCATTATTCTAATAGAGAATGAAATTTCACCCAGTGTCCGAGCCAAAAATCTCCAGATAAAATTGTCCAGTCGCTCCATGGCTGTTTGTAGGACATTTCTGTGTGCGATTTGGTTGCTGAATTTGCTTACAAAATATGAAGTCACTACACTTTAGCATAAATCCTATGAAGCACTTCGAGACATTCTTCTGGCATCAAATGCAAGGATTTAAAAAAAAAATTCAGCTTTGAATTTTTAAACAATTTTATGCAGAAAGTCAATTGAATTTGCTATTTTTAAATGCTAGCCAGCATAGACATGTGGTCAAGCTTAAGCAATTTTACTTAAGAATGCGCACTACTGATCCTCAAAGCAGCTCTAAAAATGAAATATTCTTGCCAACTCACATTTCTCATGCTGCTATATATAACCTCTGTATTTCTTAGTATCAACAAAGGGCCCTTTTTCATCAGTTTGTAGTAAAATATTACTTTATTGATTAATGGTACGATGAGACCAAAGAAGTTAAATAATGTCACATCTGTTCCCAGAAAGCTCCCTGCCAGTTTATCCTTCCAGCTTTCCTAGGCAAAACGGTAAGCAATAAGCAGTCCCATACAGCTTACATCCATAAATAGACCAATCCTATTTTACCATCCACTGTGCTTTAGAAAGGATCATGTATATTATTTCATGAAATAACCTTTCAAAGCACAGTTTTAAATGCTTTAAAAGGGTGTATAGTGTGGACAGTTTCAATTACAAGGTACCGATTTTGACTATAAACTTGGATCTTCATAGAGAATTCAAGGGGGGGGTTAATAGTTACAGAAAGATAAATCACTGAGTGACAAAAGTTACATAACTCACAAAGCTGATAGACGGATGAATAATGTGTGCAGGTTTGACTCTAAGATGATTTATTGTCCAGTAAACTAGGTATCTTCTATGCCATTTTACCCCTTATTTGGCACTCGGCTACTCTGAACTGTTTAAGACCAGTAATCTTTTTAAAGAATTGTTCTTGCTTGAAATGTTGGGGACGTGACTGTTCAAATTGGGAAGAAGCACCACGTAAAAAAAACAGCAAGAGAGACCAGGGAGAACAAGAGGAGATCAGGGAGAACAAGAAACCAGAGAGAAAAAACAGAAGGCAGAGACCACAAGGAGATAATGGTAAACAGGAAAGCAAGAAACAGAATGGAGAAAACAAATAATACATCTTACACTTGATACAGCGCATTTCGCCTTCAGAGGACATTGCAAAGTAATTCACAGGATATAAAGCGTAGTGACTACGCATTTGTAGGCGAATGGGGTAGCCAATTTTACACACAGCAACGTCACATAAACAGCCATAAAGTGAATGACCAATTTTATCTGGGGGATTATAGGCCAGGACATTAGGAATAAACTGCTTTTTCTTTTCAAATAGTATCATGGATCTTTTAACTTCCACCTGAACAGGCAGCCAGGACCTCAGTTAGAAGTCTCATCCGAAGGTTGGCACATCCAAAATTGAACATATCCCCTGGTAGCCCAATTGCACCAAACTGCCATAAATTTAATCCTAACAAAGTGTGCAAGAGGTGGAAAATTCACCATCTGGTGCAGCATGTGATGTTTTTCTGTGGTTGGGCCCGAGACAGATCATTGGCGTAGAATAGAAGATTTAATCTGCACTTAGCCTGACTTGGGGGTTTGTTGTCGATATAATGGGGATAGAAATTCCACTTTGGTCTAGATTTAGTCTATTTTCTGGAATTTGACAAATTTTAAAAAGCAGTCTTAGTCCTGAAAAACAACTTCAAAAACTTTAGCTAAGTTATAACTACATTTAAGAATTTGTCACATTCTAGACTTTCCAAAATGCTAGGAAAATACACTGAATCTAGACCCAAGTAGTGTTAAGACTTGTGCTTACTGTGGATGTGCTTACCAGCAGAATAAGAGTTAACAAAGGGAGCTGACAAGTCAAAATTTAAGTTGGGATGTGCTGAAAACAAGCTAGAGTAAACGTTGCAACGATGTTATCTGTAACTGACAATCGGGATCACAGAAGGGTATGTGTCACCACTGAAACTCACGATTCAAAGAAACGGTTGGGACAGGAAGCCTGAAAAACAAGCATGGTAGTCTGATAAGCAGAAGCAATCCAGGCACGTAGCAACTGCGCGATGTATTGTGCGAGTGAGTTATGTTCACATGAACATCACAGGGACAATGCGTGTACCCAAGCGATCTGATCAATAGTTGATGATTGGACGACTACAAGCTTAAAAAGGCCGTGCCAAACCCAGATAGTGGGCGCCTCCAAGACAAGACATACCGTGGATGGAAGATTGAAAGCTAGAACATTGAAGCTGACAACCACGGGGAAGACCTGCGGAACAATTGACAACTGCAAGGAAGATTTGTGGAACGGTAGTATTGTTTTGTTAATGGATCTATTGACTGTACCCACTTGTCCTCGCCCAACGGGAACTTGAACGGAACCTTGAGTTCTAATAAACACAACTCTGGTTGCAAACAGTAGTTGGTTTGATCTCTGGTTCTTTACAGTAGACCAACAACCAGCATTCCCCCAGCTCTGCACTGCAATGTAAGCCTAGACTATACAAATTCAACATCCCAGCTTGGGGCTTGGACTCACAACCTTCTGACTCAGAGGCAAGAGTGCTACCGACTGAGCCAGGTTGACCCCCTTGAGGTGTAAATTGAGGGAAAACAATGTATTTACAAAGCAACTACTGTATACTGCAAAATTATTAAGTGTGTAGACTTAAACCTCATTAAGCAGGAACAAACATAAGAATGGTAAGAGTGTCAGGAGTAAAGCAACTTCTAATGCCTGAGTAATAGATATTATTAATGGTGTCTAGAGGAATACATAATGTTGAAATACTCAACATCTTACTTGCTTTATTTTTGCTTGGCAATCAAAATTTAGTTTGTACGAAATGTCTAATAAAATGCCCAAACATTTCCAATTGGCCATTATCATTATTTGATCAATTTGATACAATTGACATCTCAGTAATTACCCGCAGCTTTCCAATTCATTAAATAACATCAAAAAATTTGGTACATTGTTCTGGGCCTGTAAAATCCAGGCAAATGAAACCGGAAAATGCACGCTCACAGAGCAGGTGACTATTTAGAAAATCGATCCCTAGTGAATATCTTGGCAATACTGTGCTGCAAAAATACAAGTCTGTCTCCTTTCAGAGGGTGACATTGCTCCAAAAACAAGGCAGCGGTAAAACACACAAACCTAGAGAGCAAAACCGATGGAAGAAAAAACAGAATTAAAAGGCAATGAAGATTGTTCTAGTCCAGAAGTCGACGTGAGAAGGCGCTATATCAAATGCAAAGATTATTATGATTCTTATCAAGTCACCTGGATAGTTTCACAAAGGTGTAAAAGTCTTTGAAATTCCATCCGATAATTCTTGCTCCTCTTAAAAGAAACCGCGTGTTCATTTTGCAGCGTTACACACTCCAATTAATAATTAGTTATAATTTGATCTGGTCGTAAATTTAGAATTTCAATACAATTTTTAGCAGCCAACAATAGTGCTCTCCTTCAATCAGATGCAGCTGAAACTACTGAAAATCCATGGGAGCTGAAAAAAAGGCTAATGCTATGCGCAACCTTTTAAAAGTATGACTTTCAAATCTTGTGGTCGGAAAGTACTACAATCTGACCAAACAATGCTGAAAAGTAAGCAAGCTACAATATTGCTATTTTAGTCAAGATAATTTTTTGCACATAAGAGTTACCCACAGACATGCTCTTCAAATTAAAAAAGGACCATATAGTGTACTTTTCTCTCCCTTCTCTCAATATAATGAATACCCCACCCTCGAAAAAAAATCTGAACAATCTCTGACCTTTGTTTGTTTGACTGTTCGCAGAAGGTTTGGCAATCAGAGTGGTTGGCGTTGTTGTTGATCCTACAGATGGGGATTGCCATGATGCAGCAGTACTTCCAACAGAAACTGGCCGAAAAGATGTTTGCGTTTGTCTTGGTCCAGTTTCTGGCAGTGGTTTCACATGACTGGGCAAGATACCAACTATCGGCTGGTTGGTAGTGGGGTGGAGAGGCTGGTTGGTAGCAAGGAAAAAAGGCTGGTTGGTAGCGGGGTGGAGAGGCTGGTTGGTAGCGGGGAGGAGAGGCTGGTTGGTAGCGGGGAGGAGAGGCTGGTTGGTAGCGGGGAGGAGAGGCTGGTTGGTAGCGGGGAGGAGAGGCTGGTTGGTAGCGGGGAGGAGAGGCTGGTTGGTAGCGGGGAGGAGAGGCTGGTTGGTAGCGGGGAGGAGAGGCTGGTTGGTAGCGGGGAGGAGAGGCTGGTTGGTAGCGGGGAGGAGAGGCTGGTTGGTAGCGGGGAGGAGAGGCTGGTTGGTAGCGGGGAGGAGAGGCTGGTTGGTAGCGGGGAGGAGAGGCTGGTTGGTAGCGGGGAGGAGAGGCTGGTTGGTTGTGGGGTGAATAGTCTGTGAAGTTAAAGGGACATTATAATGGCTACTGAAAGATGGCATGGCATTATAAGATAATCCAGGATAAGCATTCTTAGCAATAGGAGCAGAATGAAGAGCAACTCCCTGAGAAGGTACATTATAGGGAACTTGGCGAGGATATTGTCCACCCGTAGAGTAATTTGTTTGCTGAGGAGAACTTAAGGGAGGTCTGATAATGGTCTGGTGAGGACCCGGAGGACTAATTGATGAAGGAGCCAATGGAAGTGTGGTATACATCTGACTAGATCCTTGAGAAGTACCCAATGATGACGGACACAGGGAAGGTGTAACCATGTTCTGGCCAGACGCTTGGTAGTTATTCTGGTAGTAGGTGAAGTCACACGGTCCAGTGATGGGTGGACGTGATGCTTTATTGGGCACTTGCTGGTAAAGTTCTGGAGCAGTACTGCTGTTCTGCAGAGGTGCTCCATATTCAGTTGATAGAGGTTGCTGCATAGACAACAGATTCTTTGTTGGGTCTAAAAAAGGAAAGCATACATGAGTACAGAATTTTTTTATGATAAGCACTTGCAGATCTGAAATGAATCAAGCTCCTTCGCGAAGTGACGTCTGTGGCACTTCCAGCTCAGAGCGCACATACTTTTAGCCTTCAGTAAGTGACAGAAGTGTCACACGTGCAACACAACACGCAGGAAGCGACATCAGCACTGCTTGCTGTGCGTAGTGCAAGACGGTGAATGGCAAACTGACTACCTGGATGTTGCCCATTTTTTAGCCCCAGGATTTGGCTTCCAGTTAGTATAGGTCCACTGGACATCAGCACTTTATAAATGAGGCAACGCTATACTGATATACCATTATAACTGGGTTCCCTTGCAATAATTTAATGTACTGGATAGATACTTTTAAGGATTAATAGGTGTACAGCTATCAATTCCCATTTTCAATATTTATCCAGTTCTTTTCTAAAGGGTAAGGAACGACAATGTTAACTGCTTTATCTGGAAAGGAGTTTCACATTTCCACTACACGTGAAGGGGAGGAGGAAAAACAGGAAAAGATTTCATACTAAGTTACCATGGATGGTCAGATCTCACTTGTACACCATGTGATTCCCTAACTACACTGGAGGCTTGTAAACATTTACATGTGCCCACTGGTCACTCCTTAACTTTTTTATGATTAATCCCTTAAAGGATTAATCTCCTTAATAATAATAATCCTTGCATTTGATATAGCACTTTATCACATCGTTCACATGTCTCAAAAGTTCCAAGACACCACCTCATGTGAAGTGCTGCACTACATAAATGCAAGTTGTTGTTGCTGAAAGTTGGTCTGATACTACTTTATCAGTTTACCAAATATTGTGAAGCAAGCACATCTATTTTCAAAGTGGATCACTACACTTTATAGTCAGAGGCTTACAGGTTGGGCAGTTTCACAATTTCTAAACAGAGGAGGTTTGAACTACATTAAACCCTACCTCCCAAGGTAAGTGTTATATGAAAAAAAATCCATTGCGGATTTTAAAATTGATTCTTCTTTCAATACTGAAATCTAAATTGATAGAACTTAAGAAACAGTTAATCGAATAAACAGGAGGCAGTGGAGAAAAATGTAGAAAATGTGGATGTCCAGCAGGGGAGGAGAAGAATAGTTTCAAATATGATTTACACATAGAAATCATCTCAACCTGCTTCACAAAATTAAAGGAAAAATTAACTGAGTGTTCGGTAGGTTGATTTGCACTGGTAACCATTCCACAAACAATGAAATGAGCAATCACTTAATTCGAAATTAAAAGCCCTGTGGGGTTTTCCCACCGGGGAAGAAATCAAGATGTCTTCTGTTTGCTTCTCAGAACAATCAAAAGGGATAAACCCAATTCATTGAAGAACCTTTTAGAATTACCTCAGGAGGAATATGAAATGGTGTCTTTCTTTAGGATTATGTTTGGGTTTTGAAGTCGGGATCTGTATTTGGCTTATTTTACTGGATAATACTGAATTGTGCAAGACTAAGTGAGTCAGAAGAATTCCTGGTACCTGCTAGGCACCTACCAAGGACTCAACCTTGAGCTTGTCAAGATATATCACATCCAACTAATGAGTATCCTCAAGGGTGGGAGATGGGAGATAAGTAGGGTATCTCTGGGAAGAGAGGAGGAAAAGCAAAGCGTTGGTTCCAAGGTGACACACCAAAAGAATAGAATCCTGGATCTGAGTTATTCCTTGCAGCAGTCTTGATCGTCCAGTTCCTGAGTCAGGCAGATCCCTATTACTCTAAAGCAGTGCTGATGGCAGATCGACCGGCATAGCTCGTCAGCATGTACTGAAGGAGCCGACTACTGGATGCTGGGTTTCTTTCCCCACTCATCTTACAAAAAGTCCTGAAAAGTACGTTGGTCTACCTCTGTGACCTTCTCAAACCACACAAACCCAGCCACTCCCTCTGATCAGCAGCCTGCTTGCACGTCCCCCGCCTTACCAATCTGTCACCGCTTTCTGGAATTCCATCCTTTCCCTTGTCTCTTTCAAGAGCTGTCTCAAGGCTTTCCTCTTTGACCATCTTCCATCCCTTCCCCAGCTCCCTCATCGACTCCCACCCCCAGTTCCCAGCTTGGGTGCAAACCCTGGACTGTCCAGTGCCTTGGGACAGCCTCCTGACGTGAAAGGTGCGAATATAAGTGTAAATTTGTTGTTGGTCCTTGCTGAACATTTGCCAACATTTGCAAATCTTGTTAATCTCCAGCAGCACCCCAACGTACATTTTCATGTCCCCAAACCTTAGAAACCGTACATCTGTGGAACTCGGTAGTTTGGTTTGGAAACTCTTTAGAGAAAGGCAATCAGTTTCCATGAGTGTCAAACATTGATCAAATAATTATAGGTTGGTTTCGATGGGGGAATGAGATGATTGGAATTGATGGGGGGGGGTCACGTATCTAGTGTGAGTTTAGAAAGGCAGGTGTACTGATTTGGGTGGGTGGGGGGGGAAAAGACATTTTTGACTGAGCTCAAGGTGAACCATGGTCCAAGATTGTACCTGAAGGGTGTATGGGAGACACAGTTGCTTCTCGTTTATCTTTTAAGCGCTAGTGTAACCATACAGTTTTGGGAAGGTCTCTCAGTATAAATGAATGGCAGAATTATAGATCCAGAAGGGCATTCTGTGAGAGTCAGTCAGATGGATCTTTCCTTTGCTGTGAATTAATCCGATTTGAATCAATAAAGAAAACAATATTCATCTGGTTTTCCAGACACCCAATCAAGAAAAATAAATTCCCACTGTGAAAATATATTTTTTAACTATTTTGAACTACAAAAATAGCTAAATTCCAGGTCATAAGGTTAATAAAGATGTCACTGCCCAAGCATAGCTCGCAGGAAACAACGTCCATGGTAATCTTACCATTCAGAACTTTGAAGAAAGTTACATAGTTGAAGAAATAAAGGTAAATAAACGTCTATAATATCCATTGAAAGTTAAAACAAAATAAAAATTGCATAGAGTTTGGGATACATTTTTATAAAAACTCTCGGTAGCTGCTGAAGGCTGTGTGCAGGGTATAGAAAAATATGTGAAGACACAAAGCTATCTGAAAGCTGGCGACAGTTTCCAGGCATTAGAATTATTTTTTATACTTCAGGTTCATGACAGCTTTTCCAGAATAGATTTTATACCCCCCTTGTGCCAGATAATCTCCAGTCTTTAGCAAAGATTATCTCCATTGCGACCAGATTTAATTCATCATAAAGATGTCAACATTAACCCTGACACAAGGGAAGTCCAGAGACAACTATTGCATGATGGAGACTCAAATCTGCTGGAGGAGTTGAAGTCTCTCATTTTCTAAAGAAATGCTCCCAGAGAAATACGGGAACAATTAATGAATTGTGATGTGGGATTTAGGCTAAAAATTCCTGTGAGGGCATTTAAGGCAATAGTGTCCTTCAGATTAATTGAACATTCTCCTCATGAATACTTTGTCGGTGTTGACTGGCACAAATGGCTATAACCTTTGCCCACTGAAACGTGACTGCACTTGACAGCAATTACCTCTGAAATGCTTGGGAGACATCGACATGATGAGGTGCTATAAAATGCTAGTGTAGAAGAAGCCCTGTGGACTTCAAGGTAAATGTTAAAAGGAGAGTGTGCATAGACAGAGTGCACATTTTCAGGTGCCCAGGGATAAATTAGAGAAAGTATATAGAATTAGAGGGAGGAACTAAGAGGGAACGCAAAGCTCACCCTATTTAAGGCTTGAATGAAAATGAACCAGGCAGAACAAATCAGGTAGCTTCCACCAAGACTATTAATAATTGGAGTGATCAACTTCTGTTTAATCTATCCAAGGATGGATTTATACAATTTGTAAGAAAATTGAATACTCAATTCCAAATGTTCATATGACATGTGCTGAATGAAGCGTAGTTTTTATTTTAGCTGAAGAAGCCCCTAACAAAAAGTCCCACAAAGACTGGAAAGCAAAAGATTTGCTAAATTTGTGGATTCAACCATTTGTAAAATCTCAAAATGGTGAATTGCAGATCTGAAGTTGCAATTAACTCAGCATGTCTAGTTTGTGAATATCACATTTTACATTCCAATCTCTCAATTAAATATAGATTGCAAACTTTTAGCTAAAATATTGGTAAATAGCCTTATGATAAAACATATGATAAACAGTTGGCACATTCAGATCAAGCATAATAGGCTGTATGCCTTGGAGATATATCACCCACAAGGCTTCTTGCAATCTGATCCACATGGAACAATCTTGTATATCTCACAGCTACTATATCGACCACAACTTGAATTTATATAGTAGCTATCAACTTTTATCTTCGACCGTGCTTTCGATCTCCCTGCTTCCCTCCTGCCCTCCACCCTCCCCGACCCCCAACTCGGGTCTGAAACTCTGTCTGTCCAGCGCCTTGGGACGTCCTCCCAACGTGAAAGGCGCTATACAAATGTAATTTTGTTGTTGTTGTTGTAGCTTTCACAGAAATGAATGTCAGAAAGCGCTATGCATCTACCTCCAAATATCCCATGCCAAGATCATCTCCTACTAGAGGTAATTGCTGTCAAGTGCAGTCACGTTTCAGTGGGCTGCATGCTGTACACTCAGAATCATTGGGAACCTTTCATGCATCTCAAGTGCTTGAAAAAACCCTAAAAACTGTAGCTAAGATTATAGCTTAGAACCATATGAATTAAAGTCTCTATGTGCTACACAATAAAGTAAATTAAATAAAGTTGAGGTATAATTTGTAGTTTTATATCTTCAGTCTTCATCCATTGACCCATAGAAATATAGGATGATGCCATTCTGACATTCATTTCATGTCAGTGTTTGCTTTTCTATTTAAACCATCCTAATCCAAATGCCCTTTAACACCCGTCTTCGTTATGTGTTTGTCTAGTTCCTTTCTAAATGCCCCAAACGACTCTGTTCCAACAGCCTGTTCCAACAATTTGACTCTGGCAAATTATTTCATAAACTGGGAACCTTCTGGGTAAATATACAGTCAATTCACTTTACATTATATTCAATGAAGTACTTTGAGATGTCTGAATGACATGATAAGGCACTATACCAAATGCAAGGACTATTATTATTAACAGTATATTCTGTGAAGCGCTTTGAGATGTCTCAACGCTATATCAAACACAAGGATTATTATGAAGGTAATTTCTAACAAACCTCTTGTTTTACTCCCTTAGTCAGTCTTGAATTAATTCCCTCAATTAGTTCAGGGCAGATAATTGGTATTGAGGGCAGTTAATCGGTGTTGAGGTAAAGATCAGCCATGATCTGAAAGAATGGGGGAACAGGCTCGAGGAGCTGAATGGCCATTCCTGTTTCTGTATCTCTCAAAGTTTTTCATGATTTGATATTTTCAATCCCTTTCCATTACCTTGAACACATACATCATGTCATCCCTCATTCCTTTCTGCTCCAATGGAAAGAGTCCTAATCTCTCTCGCCTCTCATCATAGTCATCATAGTCATCATCCTTGTGAATCTATGGTGTGTCCTCTCCCCAACTTTAATATCCTTTCTTTAATGTGGTGCCCCAAACTCCCAACTCAATATTCCAGCTGCAGCCTAACCAGAGCCTTATACAGATACATCACTGGATCAAAACGTTTCATATTAACTCACTTTCAAATAAGAATCCTTCAAGTACTTCAACACTGCTGGTCACCCTTCTGATATAGTGCAAGTCAGAATCCGTTTGGGGTCAGACTACTGATATCGGAGACTTGTGTGGGAGTTACCTAAGTAGAAACAAAAGAGTATAAGTTAAAATCAAACAATGCATATGTCCAGTGTGTGACAAGTTGACTCAGCTGGTAGCAATCTTGCCTCTGTGCCAGGTCATTTTCACCAAGCTCACCTATGCCTCAAGGGCAATATCTAAAATTGAACGTTGTTGAGTCAAACTATATTCAAAACATATACTGTGAAAATATCATGCATCCACCATCAACACTGCAATCCCAGTGATAATACTATATTTAAATATTGAAGTAGAAAGCTTCAGTGATCATTTCAAATTTACATCCTACCTAGTAAGTCGAGCTCCAAACCAGATATAAAAAAGTTAGGGGGAAGATTCTCCAGCCAATGGTAAATTTAAGAGCTTTGATGAGAAGAGAATTCTATATTGATCTGTAAATTTACAAATCTTGACAGAGTGATCTTAGAGTATCATAATCGGTTATAATAATCTTTGCATTTGATGGATTGTAAAAGGATTCGACAAATGGATGTTTTTACTTGCTGATGAGTTCAAAACTGGAGGGCATAACTATAAGATAGCCAGTAGTAAATCTAAAAGAAAGTTTAGGAGAAGCTTTTTTACTCAAGAGAGTGGCAAGAATATAGAACTCACTGCCGGACGCTCTGGTTTAAGCAAAAATACATCAATGTATTTAAGAGGAAACTTAAACAGGGAGAAGAGAATAGAGGGGGATAGGAGAAGGGAAGAGTGCAGTATAAATACTGACACGGACTAGTTAGGCCGAATGGCCCATTTCCGTGCCATATCATTAAATTATAATTCTACATAGTTTTTCACATCAAATCGCCTCAAAGTGCTTCACAGATTTTTCTGTAATGTGCAGTGATGTGTATTTGTAGGCTTCCTCTTATTGTTCCCATAGTATTTCTGCAACAGTAATCTTTAAGAGTATTACGAATCTGAAAGTTGCAATTGGACGAGACATATATGAGGGAGTGATGGTATAATCAAATCTCACATTCACAAAGCACATAACTCGTTTGCAAAAGAATTGCGCAATTGGTATGATGTTTCAATAAATTCACTCGTATTAAAAAGGTATTATAGACGGTGTCAGCCTGGCTCAGTTGTAGCATTGTCGCGTTGAAATCAGAAAGTTGTGGATTCAAACCCCACATTGTAACATAGTCTAGAAGTGTGGGGGGGGGGGGGGGGGCGGTGCTGTATCATTGGAGGTCCTAAAACCTAGGATGCCCCAGCTGTTCAGGTGAACGTTACAGATCCCGTGGCGCTAATTGAAAAGGAAGTTTCTGCCGGTGTCCCGGCCATCAATCCCCCCAAATAAAATTGGTCATTCACTTCACTGCTGTTTGTGAGACATTGCTGTGCGCAAATTTGCTGCCACGTTATTCAACAAAATACAGTCACAAACTCCACTTTACATTAAGTCTTGTGCAGAGCTTCCGAGACATTCTCCCGTCGTGAAAGTCTCCATATCAAATATAATGATTATTATTATTACCACTAGCAATATAACAACTTTTATTGAGTATGTCACATTGGGATGACATCTCACTACACTACAAAAGTAACTCACTGGGTGTGGCTTCTTGAAATACCATATAAGGCGCTATATCAAGTTTTGTTTGATTAAGAACAGTATTTGGCGATATAAATGAATATTCTGTACATACAGAGGCGTAGTTAATACTCTTACGGTATTCCATGTTTGACTTGGGTTTCTATTTGACTGCAAAATAGCTTTAATCATTGAATAGTTTAACCCAGGAGAAGGGGGGCTTCAAGATGGCTGCCAAACAGCTGTGGAGGAAGGAAGCAAGAGACAACTAAGGCATTAAGGCATCCCAATCATAAATAAACCCTATTAAAATTAATACCTACTGCAGGAAGTGCAAGCAGTGGAATATGAGAGGATTATTACTTAATTCCACTCAGGAGCTGGGCCATCTGCATCATTCACAACAAGGGGTAGTCCACTGTTTACAACCGCACAAACTGCTTTCTTTTTACACTTGCAGTAACAATTCACAGCTGGGAAAATAAACTAGATTACCCACAACGATATGTTACGGTTCCTACTATTTGTGACACTCTTCTTCCTCCACAGCGGAATATCTTTTGTGATCGGAGT